AAAGGAAGGAAAAAAATGGATAGTAAAAAAATCAGTGTTTCTCAAATTGATTATTTGTTTCCTATGCCTAAGGAATCTTCCCAGTTATATTTATTTCAGAATTAAGGGAAGAGAATAAAAAATGACTGTTTTTCTTGAAACTTCTAGCAAATGATCTAAAAGTAAGAAACAACCTTTAAGAGGAGCAAGAGATGAGTAACTTCCACACACCAAATACACAAATGCGACCACACACATTATTGTAGATTAATGATTATATTGAGTGCAGGGACTCGCAGCCTCAAAATGTTATGTTTTTCATAGTCTTCTGAATTAGGTATTATTTATTGATGAAGTCTAAATATAACAACGCTTTATATCAAACTACAGATGTTAAAAACATGGCTGATAGAAAATGCAAGTGAGTTATTCATAGACATTTCATTTTTATGTTTAAAATCTATTAAGTTATTGGAAAATATGGAAATTCTTAATTCTTATATTTTCTGCTGACGCCAAGCCTGGCCAACATAGCTACCCTGGAAATATTCTGTAAAATTCTTTGAATAACTTTAATCATTACCAGCCTATAATCTGAATGTGAGTATATGTGGTCAGAGCAGTTCTACAGTATAGCTGAACTAGTACTGTCCTTGATGTTAGATTTTAAAGTTTTCTTGGGAAATGAGATACCAAAGAGGAGAAATTAGTCAAAAATATATATCAAGGCCCATCCATTTAAAAGTTGGCCTTCCTTCTTATTAGAACTTATTACAAATGCTACACCAGTAAAGTGAGAAGAATGATGCAGAATAGGGGGTTTTACCTCAATACAATGGGCATTTCCTTCTTCCTAAATCTTAATATCAAGGCGTTGTGTATTATAAGCACTACTTCTGTGTGTTCTACCCAGTGGCTTCATCCCACACTGACAAACCAGAAAAGAGCTAAATTAAGATTCTGCCTTCAGGCTGATGTTGGCAAATGAAAGCTTGTAATTAAAAGTAGCTCAATTTGTGTTGGGCTGATGCTTTCATTTGGGCTAAGTGTCCAATCTAGTCAGCCCAAAATTCAGACTCCCTTTAGGACTGTTTCTGTGCTCTAGAAGGTCTCTTTTCCTCTCTTCATTTTCTCTCTAGCATCCAGGTGACAGAAGGATCGTGCACCCTTGGCCTGCTTACCTTTGTCTCTGCTGCCTCCTCCTGGCTCTGGGTGAGGTGTGCCTGTACTCCCAAGTAGACTGGCACCCTTTCATCTGCCGCTAAAGAAACCCCTGCTGCAGTAATTTCTAGTCAATTCTCTTGCTGCCTTTCCTTTCCATGCCAGCCCCACTTTGGGGGGACTCATCTCCACTTTGGCTCTCACTGGTACTGTGGATCTTCTGAGCCCACTTGTCTACAAGGGCCTGTCCTGTCTTAAGCCTTCCGTCCTATAGAGTTGCCACATGTCATCCTATTCCTTACCACTGCGACCCCTGGCAGGCCCCTGGCTCTTAACTCTTCTGTTAAGAGTTAAGACACAAATACTCTTAACTTGTCCATGTTCCCCACTGGAAGCATGTGGAAACTTCTAGGCTCTCTGGCTCCATCCTAGAGCTAAGGGAGACTGCACAGCAGATGTGGAATGGGAAATTGTCTCTACCTCTCCTACCTAAGTACACTTGAACGTGGTTTCCCTTTTACACAGCAACAACCTTCTACTGGATAGTCTCCTCCTAAAGCTGGGAAATGGAGGCTGCACACAAAGCCCTTCCTTCATCTGCCTTTGTTACCTTCTGTCCCCTTGTTCCCTCCAGATTTTCCACCTCTCCCTAGTAAAAGAGGTTCTACTTCCCTTTTCTGTGAAAGAGGAACATGTCCTCCTCCGCAGAATGTAAAGCCATGCAGACTTCACTTGTTCTTTTGTAGTTTTGCCAGTGCGCCTTAAAGTAGCGGTTTCTCATTGTCTGAACTAGTATCCGGGGTTCTTTGTCTTGCATCCAAGAAAATTAAGGAGCATGAGCACAAGGGTAGGGATGGAGGGAAAGTTTAATAAGCAAAAGAAAGCACTTCAAAGCAGAGGGGAGTCCGAGTGGATTGCTGAGTTACAGCTAAATCCAAAAGCTTGTATAAGAAACTATTCTCATCTCTGTAGCCGTTTGAACAACTTTTCATATCAGTAAAGCTGATATGAAGCAGCTCCCCTTATCTTATGCAACTGTGGGTATGTCTCTAGCAAGCACAAAACGCTGCTTCTCTTGTTTGTATAACTATGGGTTTGCTTTAGGTCTGCCCCCATCCTCCCTGGGTCAGTTTCCATGGAACCCAGCATGTATATGCCTGAAAAGGGGAGAAAACTTTTTCCTGGGAGCTCACTAATTATACAAAGAATAAAGGGCTTCTGTGCTGGACCCTGTCAGCTTATCTGCATGCAGGTGCAGCCTGAATTTTTTTTTCCCAAGTCGTTTTAATTTTACCTGTTGCTGTGACATTGCAGGCAGACAACTTCTGCAGTCTGAGTTTGATCCAACTGATTTTTCTTTTCCTTCTCCCTCAGTTCTAGAGGGTATCTCAAAGTAGAAAGATTGTGGGGTGGAGAGTAGACATTACTGAGAACAAAATATATCAAGAGACATTTCAAAAATATTATCCCCAAAGCAATTCAGGAAAGAATTATGGAGCAGCTGTTATATGTTGTATGCTGGAAATAACGGCACTGAGCAAAATAGCTGAGGCTCCTGTCCTTAATGAGCTTACAGCCTTGAAAATTTTGTAGGAAAGAATTCTATGCAAGGGCATAGAGATTTATACAAAAGGATGATTATTGAAACATTATTATAAAATCAACAGAAATGCCCATCAATAAAGAAATAATTAGTAGACTAACGGCCATAATATGGAACATTAGACTATGGAAGAGCCATACTATGGAATATTCAGTAATGTATTGAAACACTATTATGATGTTTTGATTCTTTTTTTTTTGAGACGGAGTTTCGCTCTTGTTACCCAGGCTGGAGTGCAATGGCGCCATCTCGGCTCACCGCAACCTCCGCCTCCTGGGTTCAGGCAATTCTCCTGCCTCAGCCTCCTGAGTAGCTGGGATTACAGGCACGCACCACCATGCCCAGCTAATTTTTCGTATTTTTGGTAGAGACGGGGTTTCACCATGTTGACCAGGATGGTCTCGATCTCTCGACCTCGTGATCCACCCGCCTCGGCCTCCCAAAGTGCTGGGATTACAGGCTTGAGCCACCGCGCCCGGCTTTAATTCTTATTAAAAGAATTATGTAAGTCTTATACATACTCACATGAGAGAAAAGTCTATATATACTCATCTGAGCGTGTTCTATATATATAGCAGACATGTCTCTATGAGTATACAAAATCTTTATATACAGCCAAACTATTAACAATAATTTCCTCTAGGAGATGAGATTTGACATCTACTAGGGGACATCTCTCTTCCTTAGAAAAGGGAAGTAGTAGCTCTTTTAGGAAGAGTTGGAAAATCTGCAGAGAGCAAGAGGATTGAATGTTAACAAAACCTGCTAAAGAGAGGCAGGGAGGGAACTTTCACCTTTATGCTACATACTTCTATATTGTTTAAATTTTGTGCAACAAACTATGCATTACTTTTATTTCTTAAGACAAATAAGAAAAATAGATACCAATAGAGTTATTCTGACATACAACCTGGTTTACATTTTTAAATTATTATTTCTAAATTATATGTTGGTGAAAGGAGATGGAAATATTACCCAACACACAACGTAAAATTACCCTGTATTCCAGCTCTGTTACACCCTGTCCTCTGTAAGAATTCAAGGCCTGCAGATGTTCCCCAAATGGAGGTCCCTAGGACAGCAAGTGGGTCCCTCAGCAGCCTCTGCCATCTTCACCTCACTCTCTTCCTCCCTCCCTCAGCCCCTCAGTACTTCTCTTCCCTGTCTCCCATTCAAAGTTCCTATCTTGCCCTATCCCCAAGTTGCCATCTTCTGCCTCAGAAATCAGCAATTCCCTAATTTCCATTCATGTATTATATATTTTCACCAATTCTCGTGTCTGTTGTAAATAAAAATTGCTGTCTTTCTCACCCAGTCCTGCTGTTTTAAGCCCAGTGGTTAGAATCAAAGGAAGAAAAATGTTGCCTGAGTCTCTATCCGGGTTACAGTTAGTTTGGGGGGATTATTATCCCTACCCATCTAAAATTGCATACTGTGCTCTGACTGCTTTAGTTTCTCCAGAAACACTTACCACATCTTCCTTCAAGATCTCCTTTTAGCCACTACTATGTTTTTGAACTTATTCTGAAGGAGTGTTTGGTCCTTCCCAACTTTGGGCTGCTTACAGTGCAAAGGATTCTTTCAGAATCAAGATGAACCTTTTTACTAGGCCCTGTTTGGGGTTTCTTCCATTTAGGAAGAGGCTTCTGGAAACTACACCTGCTACAGTTGTTTCAAATAGTTGTGTAGAACAACTAAGCTCTTTAGCTAATCTAAAAGCTCTAAACCATGTTAGCACTTTGTTCATTCCACAGTAAATTTCTGAATGCTTGCTGTATGCCTCAGGTCAGCCTGTTGAATTTTTTCCTGAATATTTTAGTCAAACATAGTAATGTAATGTATTTACTTTTCAAATACAGTAATATAATGCTTTATTTATAACAAGTGAAATAAATCTCTTTTGCCAAAAGCTCATTTCAAAAAGGAAAGTAAACTAAGATCCAAGTCATGAAAAAAAAGCCAACCACCTCATAGCTGCAACTACTGTCTTAAGCATCCTCAGCATAAATTCACAAATTAATTCTTTTTATCACAGAATAAGTATTGGGTATGCAGTAGCTTTATCTAGGAGTGACTTTTATCTCATAACAGTTTCTCTCTTTTATCTTGTGTTTCTGTTAAAATATTAAAGGTTATATTTCATTCACTTACCACAGTTAAATTGATAATATGTAATCCAATCAGAAAATATCGTCAGCTTGGAGCCAAGCATTATAGATTACCTGTAAATAAATATGGTGAAATTTTCTCTTTACAGATGCAAGTATTGGCATTATGATGAAAACCTGCTCACTTCCAGTGTTGTCATTGTCTTCCATAATGAAGGATGGTCAACCCTCATGAGAACAGTCCACAGTGTAATTAAAAGGACTCCAAGGAAATATTTAGCAGAAATTGTGTTGATCGATGATTTCAGTAATAAAGGTAATGGCTGTACAACTTATATTTTTTCTATAAAAATAAGCATGAATAATTGCAAAAATGTGACTTTAAAATAATTAGCTTTAAAAAATTAATAGCATCTATTGATAGCATCTGTTATCAAGTTGACACTGGGCCAAGCATTGTATGTGAGTTATTTTGTTTCATACTAACAGTAATCCTTGCAGTAGATGTTATTATATCTATTTTACATGCTTAGAGATGTACAAGTAGTACACAAAAATTTGGTTGTACACAAAAATTCAGTAAAAGCATGTAAGTGATTATAATATTGGAAGTGAAGATAAACATAAGTAACATGAAAATATTCAAAATGGCTTTATAAAAAAAGCCTCCTTCAAAACTTGAGAATTCTTGTAGTCTGGATAAACCTTTGCTGGTTTTGCAAGGACGTGTTTAGAATCTTGAAAGTGTACACATTATATTAGCACAAATCAATAGAAATATGGCCTATTTCTTTTTCCTTTCATCTCTGTGCAACTGATCATTTTATTAACTAGTCATTTTTAAGTACACAAGACAATGTATAGTTTTAAAATTTTAGTCATATCAAATGCATTTAGAGTAGAGGCTTTAAGATAACATTAAAACTTTTTTTCAGTTCTCATGTTAATGTCAAATCTAAAAGCTTTTAGGCAGAACATTTTGTTCATGTCCATTTTGTTTATGTCCATCTTGGTTGCAATTTTTTTTGGAAGTAATGTTTTCATTAAAGCACTGTTTCTGTCTCAAGACAAATGATATTGTTGGTACAATAATAATTTAGATGTATAAAAATCTAAATCTATAAAATAATTTTACTGATTTTAATACTCAGTAAAAGCTTATCATATCCTGAAAAAAGTGAAGATATACCAAAAGGTATTTAGCATTCCTAAAATAACTGCTTTGCCTTAGAAAAGAACACAATTTCAGACCTCAGAGTATTGTGTATTTTACTGTTGTCTTTTTTTTTTTTTTTTTATCATTGCTTCTTTTACAGATCTCTAATGAAGACAAATCATACAGGGTCCTTGAGTTTAGAGTATGCAGAGACGTTTGGGTTACCCATGAACAAAAGTACAGCTTTAATTAGTTTTTCCAATTTCAAAACAACCTTAAAATCTCAGTCATATCGTTAGTAAAATTATATCGTATTTGGTTAGACTTCAGTCATAATTTGGTGTGTACTTTCCCTAATAAATTCAGAAAGTAAAATTAAGATAACGATTTTTTTTAAAGACAAAATACATATAAAACCTCACAAATGAGCTAATTCATTATGGCACTCAGGTTTCTGGGCATTACAGTATCCTCTCTAAAGAAGGTTTGGAGCAAATTCCTCCACACACGTGTGCATCAGCCAGTTGTGGCTTGCGTAAGGAAGGGTTAGCTTTTGCTCAAACTATGTGATGCCTGTGAATCAGCCCTAGCTCTGCACCCCATCCTCACTGCATGGCCCAGGCGTGCAGAACAGCCTCGGCTCGGACACTGCCTAGAGAGGGTGATGGGAAAGAAGACACACACAAGTGGCCTCTTAACGCTTCTGCGCACGCGACTGATGTCATTTCTGCCCACTTCTTGGCCACAGCAAGTCACGTGGCCCAGCCGGCAGTCAGTGGGTTAGAGAGGGTAATATTTACCCAAGGAAAGGCAGTGAATATTTTGAGCCCTAACACAGTGTACAGCAGTGTGAGATACAAAGAAGCCAAAAGGCATTGGACGCACCATTTCCACCTTTGGTCCGTGGTAACCGAGAATCTAAATTTGAAGGATGGGCCATCAATTCATTTCTGTCCATAAAAACTTAAGATGTGTTTTAAGTTACATATCAAAAAAGCTCTCCTAATGGAATTCAAAAGGCTTTAAAGAAATAATTTAGGACTGTACTGAACTTTAAAAAGAAGATGATAAGTACTTTTTTTTTTCTTTTAAGTTAACTTGAAGGGAAAATTACTCAGGTTTTCTGGGGGAAAACATGATTAAGCATGAGAATTTTATTTATAATACTTATTAAAACTGGGCACCAAAATAGAAAGTATTTTTTTCTCAATTCCAGATACCCAAGTATATCTTACTAATAATAAACACCCTAAAATGAGTCAAATAGTAAGTATACAGTCTGATTTGCCCATTTATCCACTAACTCATCTCTAAATGCAGCAATTTTCTTGTGATTGCGTATTCATGGGCCAGATTTTTAAACAATTTTAAAACTATTTGTGTGTCCTCAAGAAGCATCTTTTAAAGGATCTGCAGCTCCTTCTGACTGTGGTGATCTTATTTCATGGACTCATAGTGGTATAAACAAAAGCTGTTCACTTACAATGGGAAGCCTGAGATGGAAACTTTGCCAAATGTGTCTGGTTTTTTGTAACACAAAATTTCCTCTACTAAATTACAAACACATATATACATATATAGATATGTATAATTATATTTATAAGGTATAATTATACACTTGTTACTTAAGGTAAAGAAAAAATGAGATTTTTTTTTTTATGCCAACTTGTTGGGAACTATATTCATTATACCAAGGATACAACTTTCATCACTGATTGTGGTTGGGGAAAGACGGCCCAGAAGCAAATGTTAAATAACCTATACCCTGTGTGGATTCCAGTGAAATTGAATATTATTAGTAGGCAATGCATCTTCAGAAACCCTAACCATTGCTTCTGCCAACAGCAAACAAAATGTTGTTCCTTAAAGCTTTCAGATTTGACATTAACATGTGAACTGAAAAAAAAAAAAAGTTTTGATGTATATTAAAGCCTTACCTGTAAATTGGAATAATCATTGTTTAGAGGGATGTTTGATAATTCTCACACTAACCAGTTCTTTGTAGGCATATTAAACCCAAAATTAACTTAAATAACATGCTTCATCTTCCTTCTTAATAGATAAAACATTCAGTCTGGTCCATGTAAAATTCCTGTCTACCCAATGCACCTGTTTCTTATTCTTGTTTTCTGAGAAAAATATAATTAACTGGTTTCTATTCATTAGTCTAATTTATAATAGCAATTGATTTTTCTTAATTAATAGAGCACTTAAAAGAAAAACTGGATGAATATATTAAGCTGTGGAATGGCCTAGTGAAGGTATTTCGAAATGAGAGAAGGGAAGGTTTAATTCAAGCACGAAGTATTCGGTGCTCAGAAGGCTAAACTTGGACAGGTAGGAAGCATTTGATATCTACAATGTCAACATTTTGGGTTTAGTAACTAAATCATATACATTTTTAATCATCCTTCAGTTTTTTTTAATTGAAATGAGAATGCTGGCTTAAACAGATAACTTGTGTGTCAGAATTAACTATAATGCTAATTTTTATTAGCATCTAATTTTAAATTGTTTGTAATATATGATGTGACATATATGAGGAGTATTCTTTCACCTGCCTCTTTTTTTTAAGGTTTTGGTATACCTTGATGCCCACTGTGAGGTGGCAGTTAACTGGTATGCACCACTTGTAGCTCCCATATCTAAGGACAGGTAACACTACCTTGCTTTTTTTCTTTCCTGATTGAAAAGTAAACCTTGTCCTAGAAGGGCAAATGATAATTTTCATTCTTTGATTCCAGTTCCATTCAGTGCATCAAATGTGCTTTCGTGTTATCCCTCATCTAGTAGTTTCCTTGGGTGGAGCTAGACTGATACTGTGGACTGTTTCAAATGTAGGCAGTCTGGCATTTGGGAGAAACCTAGGGTTCTTCGTTCAAGAATCATTTTGTGGTTGGGTTATTAAGACACTTCTATCTACAAGCACTTTCCTCTAAGAGTAATATGAATTGCTTCCTCTAAACTGGGGTAAGAGTTTTAAACACTTGAGGAACCATCCTTTGAAATTATACCTATTGATTCTTGTGCCTTTCAGTAGAAAAGATCAAGTGTTATTTGTGTCAAGGCTTTGGGTTCCTATAGAAACTTTAAAGATTAAAAATAGACAACTATTCCATGAAATGTGGCAGTCACCATTAAGTTTCCAGAAATGTCTAAAACAGTGTAAGGCACTCTCGATTTTCTAGCTCCCCCTTCCTTGTTTCTAGTCTGTAATTAGGAAGATAAGACATGTCCATGTGGCAAATGGCAAATGGCATGAATCAAAGGCAGCACTTTGGAGGATTTAATCATGAGAGGATTTAATGTGAAGGCCTATCATGAGCATTTTTCACAGGCTAATTTAATCCTCATAGCAACCCTATAAGATAGAGATTATTAGCTCCATTTGACTGAAGAGGATACTGAGGCTTAGAGAAATTAAGTAATTCTCCCCAAAACAGATAGCTAATACACTGTCAGACCATGGTCTCCCTGGGACACTTTACACTGCCTCAGGTATTTAGAAATGTGAAAATTATAAGCGATGAGGAAAGATAACTGACCAAGTGTCAGGCGACTCTCCCTAGGTGAATACCAGCAGTCTTCTGGGCAGTAAGGAAGTGGTTTTCCAAATTCCAGTGGCAGATTCCACGAATCTCACAATGACCCTCCAGTGTGAGCTCACACTCTGTAGAGACTGAAGCACCTTTCTAGACTCTACTTACCCCATATTAAAGTTTTAAGCCCTGTAGGTTTTCCCTTTTCCTTGGTTTTTAAACTTCTAAAAAGCACCCTGACCCCAGATATAAAAAGCCGTCATTTTCATTTCAGGAAAATAGATTTTAAAATCCTTTCTGATGAGATGAACATTGCAACAATCAGGGTACCAGATAATCTTTGTAATGTCACGTTGACATCTAATTGGTTATAAAGTACTAGCATTTTCATGAAGCTCAAATATAAAGGATTTTTTGTTCCAGATTCTCATCCCACTTCTTAAGTTCTTCAGCAAGTTTGGAGGGATTTTTTTGCTTTTTTTTTTTTTTTTTTTTTTTAAGCAACAATACCTTTCTTTGGACAATAAAAGCTGTTTTCTGCAGTCAGAGGAGTGAGGAAGATCAAGTAAAAGTACAGAAACTCATTTTCATAGTAACTGTTTCCAAGAAATAGAAAGCAACAAAGAGTTGGGAAAACTGCTAATCACGTGGCAAGTACTATGACCCTACGCACACGCATGTGCATGCACACGCACGTGTGAACTTTTCCATGGGTGATAGGGAGGAAAAATAACAGGCCAGAAATTCTTATAAATAATATAAAATTACCAAAAGAAAGTTACCATTAGGACCAAAGTAAAAAGGAGAAAACTCTATTAAGCTCAATGATATGGTTCTTTGTCCCTGACATTTGTCTGTAAGCCTAGGGGGACGTCTCCTCTCTCCTGCCCTTATAAAAACAGGCTTTTTGGCTTTTATGGGACATTCATTTACTCTATTTCCCATGAGATAATTAAAGTCCCCTGGCACACAAACAAATCAACAACAGAAAGAGATAATGTAGTTAGGCATGCTGACTAGTCTTGGGTTCTTAAATGCTTTTTCATTTTCTGTAAATGTTTCAGAACTACATGTACTGTGCCTCTAATAGATTACATAGATGGGAATGATTATTCCATTGAGCCACAGCAAGGTGGGGATGAAGATGGTTTTGCCAGAGGGGCCTGGGACTGGAGTTTACTATGGAAACGTATTCCTCTAAGCCACAAGGAAAAAGCCAAAAGAAAACATAAAACTGAACCTTATCGGTAAAGACTGTTACTTTATTTTCTTGTGCTGAATGTTCATCTAAGTCCTTTTTTTTTCCTTCCTCATGAACTCTTACAAATGTGTGGGTCCATACATACGCTTCCATTTGATCTTTGCTGCCATCATCAACACAATACAGAACCATTTGCACTGTGCCGCTTATAGATGTCATAAATGGCAACACATATGAAATTATACCCCAAGGGGGTGGTGATGAAGATGGGTATGCCCGAGGAGCATGGGATTGGAGTATGCTCTGGAAACGGGTGCCTCTGACCCCTCAGGAGAAGAGACTGAGAAAGACAAAAACTGAACCATATCGGTAATCACTAAATCACTTACATATTTTTCTTTTCTCCAGTTGCTGCTAACCTATTAACCTCTTGTCAAGCTAAAGATTTGTTATTAAAACTGTATGTAGATGCTGTCTCATATTCTGAAAGAGCATCTTTCCTTATACTGTTTCAGAGCTTTGAATTCACATTTGCGCCATGATAATTGCTTTTACCGTAAATGCAATATCCGCTACTGAGACGTACACACTTTCATTGGGGAAAGAAAAATAATGTAATATGACATTTGTTCGAAGTACAAGTGAAAAAAAGAAAATCTTAGTTATCCTGTCCTACTAGATTAGACATCAAAATTTATTCTTTTGATGACAGTGTTACTCTATAAATTTAAAATACGTAAATTACTTTTAATCCAACCAAGACATTTATTTACAAGTTTATGCTGTAGATATAGTGTTAACAGTGAAGGGCACTAGCAAGAGATTTTGGGCTTTTCTCCCCTTTTATTGTTATGTTAACTCTCAAATACTAATTTTATACTAGTGAAATCTGATGATTCACAATACATGACTTTAAAAAATGTTATATAGAGGGCCGGGCGCGGTGGCTCAAGCCTGTAATCCCAGCACTTTGGGAGGCCGAGGCGGGTGGATCACGAGGTCAAGAAATCGAGACCATCCTGGTCAACATGGTGAAACCCCGTCTCTACTAAAAATACAAAAAATCAGCTGGGCATGGTGGCACGTGCCTGTAATCCCAGCTACTCAGGAGGCTGAGGCAGGAGAATTGCCTGAACCCAGGAGGCGGAGGTTGCGGTGAGCCGAGATCGTGCCATTGCACTCCAGCCTGGGTAACAAGAGCGAAACTCCGTCTCAAAAAAAAAAAAAAAATGTTATATAGAATCCTTTATTGCTTCATTCTCGGAAAAGTGATTGATTAAAGAAAACTCTATTCCAAAATCAGCTTTTGTCCCTTCTTGTGGTTCTTTCAGTAGAACTTATGCTACTCTCTTCTTTTGATCTGGTAATTAGAGAATTTTACTGTCTCTCAAAAAAGTCGCCCCAAATGAAATGTTTGCTCAAATGTTGGTATAGCCTTCTCCTGAATGTATCTAATCTTGTTTTTCTGATCCTATGGTTCTGCTTTTGGTCTCTCTCTCCCTGTTACACTGCTGATAATGTTAGAACTCTGTTTTGGGAAGGTGCTTCCAATGTCATGGAAATGCTGGTGGGATTTGGGCATGTCATGATATCAAGATATTGAACGGCAAACATAAAGAAGTTATAGCACTTAATTATAGTAGCTTAATTGGACATTTACCAAATTATTTTTGTAAATTTCTTATTCAGAATAATCCAGGAATCTACTGTTTACCTACTGATGGGAGAAATAACTGTGGGAGAAAAAAACAAAGGGTGCTGAGCAAATTTACATTTCTACTAATTCCACAGGCCAGTAAAGAAAATTTTTCAAGTGAGCTAAAAAAATTAAAGGGAGGTTATCTGTTAATTAACTCACTGGTTTCCATGTTAAGATGCATTTTCAAGTATATACTGAGATAAATGGGAATATATTTAAAGATAAAAAAGATACAGGTATAGTGGAATAATCTTAAATGACAGTTAAATAAATGTGACATGAAAATATCACCTAAAACATAATGGTGCTGTTACTGAGTTAGGCAGCATACTTCAAGAAGAAAAGTCATAAGAGAACAACTTTCTCCTGATGCTGTTTTCTTTCAGTATTGAAAATATTTCTCGATTCATTATTTATCCATTCAACAAACATTTGTTGAGGGCTTACTGTATGCCACACACTATTTTCTGGGGATCAATCTTTAAAGATATGTTTCCTCATTGAACTTAAAATAGAGTGAATCAGGCAGAAATCAAACAGTTAACTACATAAATAACCCTAAAATTAGCTTGGTGTCATGGCGTGTACCTGTATTTCCACCAATTAGGGAGGCTGAGGCAGAGGGATTGCTTGAGCCCAAGAGTTCAAGGCTGCAATGAACTATGATTGTGCCACTCTACTGCAGCCTGGGCAACAGAGTGAGACCCTTTCTCAGAGACATATAAACTCTAGAACAGCAGCTGTGATAAGTAGTATGAAGAAAAATCACAGAGTACCTGAGTTTATGGAAAGATGAACCTAATCCAGCCTGGGGATCGGGAAAAGGCCTAATGACAAAGTGTCATTTAGGCCAAGACCTGAAGAATGAGGCCCCAACCCTGCGGAAAAGGAGGGGGATCATTTCAGGATCATGAATAACATGAGTGAAGGCCTTGAGACAGAAAGGAGGATGGCAAGTTTCAGGTGGGAGCAGAGCAGTGAAGGACTCATGGGAAGCGAGAGCATGGTGAGACCAGAGAGCTGGGAGAGGCTGGTGTCATGCAGTTGCATGTGGGGGAGTCTGCTCTGGCTGCTGTGTGATTAGACTAGGGTAGGGGCAGAAGAGAATAAAAGACACAGCTCGAGAGATACTGCAAAGCCAAGTAGTGTTGGCTTGGTGTAGGCTGGTGGCAGTAAAGTTGGAAATAAGTCAGCAGATTCAAGATGTATTTTCAAGGCTGAGTGCCGTGGCTCACACCTATAATCCTAGCACTTAGGGAGGCATAGGCGGGTGGATCTTTTCAGCCCAGGAGTTCTAGACCAGTCTGAGCAATATGGCGAAACCCCGTCTCTACAAAATACAAAAAAAGGTAGCCAGATGTGTTGGTGTGCACCTGTAGTCCCAGCTACTCAGGAGGCTGAGCTGAGAGGACTGCTTGAGCCTAGAAGGTTAAGACTTCAGTGAGCCACGATTATGCCACTGCACTCCAGGTTGGGCAATAGAGTGACACTGTGTCTCAAAATATATGTATATATGGACACTATGTCTCAAAAAAATATATATATACATATATTCAAGGTAGAATCAATGGAACCGTGAAATGGGTTTCGTTGAACCTATTTGAATAGATTATTAGGTATGATGTTGAAGAAGTTACCTTAATAATATTGAGTGCCCTAAAATTTAAGAATCATGATGCATTAGTAAGTAATTGTTCAGGAGAGAGGGTCAGAGAACAAAAGGAATTCTGCTATCATTTCTTTCAATAGTGGGAGTGACTTGTCCCTAAGAAGCTGCCAAATCTTTTTTCTCTTGGACCTAAAAAGTGTCCAATTTAAGATCCATTCAAGAAGCTCCACAGATCCACAGATCACCCTTTTGCATTCCTACCTCCTGGCACAGTAAATATCTATGTCTAATTCTCCTGTGTCGTTTCTGTGCTACATTTGCAAACTCTGAATGAACTGTGGTTGTACGATGATTCACACCCTTATTTGGCGAGCCCCTGAGCTATAAAATTTAAAAATGACAGGCTGCTTCCATGGTGTATGGTTTTGTTCATCCAAGAATGACTCATAAATCAATGCAGGAGCAGTCAGCAGACCACGGCTGTGTGGCTCAGTGTTTTTAAGAGTGAAAGAGAAAATTCTATTTTAACTTAAGACAATTTTTAAATCGACAAAGGAACCAAAGCGCCCTCTAATGGTGAAATGAAGCAATGCTCTATTTTGTAATGAACTATAGTTTCAGTTAGAAACTGTGGTAAATTTGTTAGGGAATTATGAGCAGATATTTTTCTTTTTTTGTAAAGGTTTTATAATTTCTTAATGTTTGCCCATAAGTTTTGTCTCTTCTACGTATTTTATGCTGTATTCTACAAGGCTTCTTGCCTGTTGGTGAAGGGATATTGGGGTTTGTCTGTAATGGTTATTGCAGTGTTTCTTTTTCTTAGGTCCCCAGCAATGGCTGGGGGATTATTTGCCATTGAACGAGAGTTCTTCTTTGAACTGGGTCTCTATGATCCAGGACTCCAGATTTGGGGTGGTGAAAACTTTGAGATCTCATACAAGGTAACAGTTTTTTAAACAGATGGAATTTTCCAAGCAGTTACTAACTTCTGTGGCTTTCAGATAAAGCTGATTTCCTGTGGGGAAAAAAAATAAAACAATTATATAATGCATTTCTCCAAATTATAAAGAATGACTTAACAAAAATGGATGCCTTTGGGGAAAAAATAAAACATAAGCTCCAAACTTACAATTTATTTACAGGGCTCAACTCAAAATTGTGGCCAGCAAGCTTTAGAAATGAAAATATCTACCCCCACACCCCAACTTTCTATATACTGGAGCTTTTTATTATAGGAACCCCTGGAAAAATCTGCATGCATTAGGGCCACAGTTGACCACCCACTGACATAGTCACCCTTTATCACTGTAGGACATGATGACTCAAGACAGAAGCAGAGCTCCACAATGACTGCATCCTCAGGCTGACTTTGGAGCTGTCTTCCTGCAGCGCCTCCCCTGTTGTTGAGGCAGTCTTGGAGCAATACTTCCTTCCATGCTCTAGCCCCCATCTCAACCCCTATTCCAACCCTCATTTTCCAAAAGAGAGAGAGAACTATATCACAGTTTGAGTTAAACAGGTATTCATTACCTCTTGTCTTAAATGTCCTGTGCTTAGCACTGTGAGGGATAGAAGAGGAGTAAATCAATCCTTTCAAGGAACTCAACAAGAAGATATTACAATTATACTTAAATTCATAATACAACAAGAAGGCAGAATGGCAGTCAGTTGGTGTGATTAAGAAACAGTGTCATGCTAGATGTAGAATTTGAAGTAGACCTAGAAAGATGGGTATAATGTTAATAAGCAGAGATAAGGGATGGGAGGGGGACTTCTAAGCAAGTAGCATGGGGAAAAGTACAAAGGAGGGAACACAGGGAATTTATTCAGAGAACAGTAAGCAGCACACTTCTGCAGAATCAGGCAACATGAATAAGGAAGACATCCAAGAAGATCAAATGGGAAGGTATGTTAGGACCATATTGAAGAGAGCCTTTAAAGCTGAGTTAAGAAATTTTTGTTTAATTTGATAAGCAGTGGAGAACAATCAAGGATATGAAGCAAGGGAATAACATGACCCAAAGCTGCTCTTCAGCTATAATAATCTCTTGCTATAAATAAGGATAGTTGAGTAGAGAGGTGAAGGTGAAGAAGCCAGTTAGGAGGTTATTACAGTAATCACCCAAGTAGGAAATATATTAGCAATGGAAATGATGAATGAGTTAGGAATAAAGAATCTGCATGACTTTGCAAGGTTATGTTGGGAGAAAGTCGCTAGGGACTCTGAGTATACAGGAAGAGGTCCCATGGTAGCAGTTTGTCATTCATACTATATTCCCTATTGCCTTCTTTGTTGTTATATGAGTTTTTAAAAAGCAAATTATTTTAGTATTTGTTTAGCTTAAGAACTCTTTGTGGAGACTGCATATAATTTAGACTTTAGATTTACCTTTGCAAGATAAATTGTCAGTTGTAGTTTATGTTTGTATTTGAAACAACTTCCAAAATGTGTTCTTTTTTTTCATAGATATGGCAGTGTGGTGGCAAATTATTATTTGTCCCTTGCTCTCGTGTTGGACATATCTACCGTCTTGAGGGCTGGCAAGGAAATCCTCCACCCATTTATGTTGGGTCTTCTCCAACTCTGAAGGTGAGTTTTTTAATAAAAGGAGAGGATAGGGAACTATCATTTTTGTACCACATGCTATAGTAGTTACTAAACAATTGTCAGCTTATTAAATGGGGTAAATCTCTTCATCAGTCATGTTGATTCTTATCTTTAGTTAGCTGGACTTATTCATGAAATATCTTATTGTTCTTTAAGATTATTCAGCTGAGGCAGGAGGATTCCTTGAGCCCAGGAGTTCAAGGCTGCAGTGAGCTATGATTGCACCACTACACTCCAGCCTGGATGACAGAACAAGACCCCATTTCTTAAAAAAAAAAAAAAAAAAAAAATTTACCCTATTTTTTTAATTGACAAGTAAATATATATTTATCATATATATTACAATGTTTTGATATACATATACGTTATGGGATGGCTAAGTCTAGCTATTTAGACATGTATTACATCACATACTTGTTTTTCTGGTGAGAACACTTAAAATCTGTTCTCAGCAATTTTCATATATGTAATATATATTAATTGTAGTCACCATGTTGTATAACAGATTTCTTGAAATTATTCTTCCTAACAGAAATTTGTGTCCTTTGACCAAAATCAGCCCACTCCCCCACAACCTTCACCATTTTACTCTGTTTACTTGTTTACACTCCACATGTGAGTAATATCAGACAGTTTGTCTTTCTGTGCCTGACATATTTCACTTAACATAATATTCTCCATGTTGTTGCAAACATGATTTTCTTATTTTTAAGACAGGATTTTCTTATTTTTTAATGGTGTATAGTATCAATGCCATCGTGTATATATACCATCTTCTCTTTACCCATTCATCTCTTGATGGACACTTAGCTTGATTCTGTATCTTGGCTATCGTGAATATTGCTGCAGTGAACACAGAAGTATAGATACCTCTTCAATATACAGATTTTATGTCTTTTGGATATATACCTAGTAATGAGATTGCTAGATCATATGATAGTTCTATTTTTAATATTTTGAGGAACCTCTGTACTGTTTTTCCATAGTAACTGTACCATTTTGTATTCCCACCAACAGGTGGAAGGTGGTATCTTGTGGTTTTAATTTGCATTTCTCTGATAATTAATAATGTTGAGCATTTCTTCATGTACCTGTTGGCTATTTATATGCCTTTTTTTTTTTTTTTTTTTTTTTGAGACGGAGTTTCGCTCTTGTTACCCAGGCTGGAGTGCAATGGCGCGATCTCGGCTCACCGCAACCTCGGGCTCCTGGGTTCAGGCAATTCTCCTGCCTCAGCCTCCTAAGTAGCTGGGATTACAGGCATGCACCACCACGCCCAGCTAGTTTTTTGTATTTTTAGTAGAGACGGGGTTTCACCATGTTGACCAGGATGGTCTCGATCTTTCAACCTCGTGATCCACCCGCCTCGGCCTCCCAAAGTGCTGGGATTACAGGTTTGAGCCACCGCGCCCGGCCTTTTTTTTTTTTTTTTTTAAGAAATGTCTATTCAGGTTCTTTGCCCAATTTAATCAGGTTGTTTCCTTATTATTGAGTTCCTTGTATGTTATGGATATTAGCCCCTTGCCAGATATATGGTTTACAGATGTAGTGTCCCATACCATAGATTGTCTCTTTACTTTGTTAATTGTTTCCTTTGCTTATAGAAACTGTTTACTTTGATATAATTCCATTTGTCTATTTTTATTTTTGTTGCCTGTTCTTTTGGGGTTGTTAGATCTAAAAAAATCTTTGCCCAGACCAGTGTCATAGAATTTTTCTATTTTCTTCTAGAAGTTTTACAGTTTTAGATCTTCATGTAAGTCCTTAATCCATTTTGAGTTGATTTTTATGTATGGTGTGAGATGAAGTTCTAGTTTCATTCTTTTTGCATATGGTTATCTAGTTTTCCAAGCAACATTTATTAAAGAGACTGTTCTTGCCCTAATGTGTTCTTGGCATCTACCTTGAAAATCAATTTTCAAGGCAATAAATTAGGCAATAAATATGTGGATTATTTCTGGGCTGTCTGTTCTGTTCTTTTGGTCTGTGTGTCTGTTTCTATGTGAGGACAATACTGTTTTGATTACTATAGCTTTGTAGCAGGTTTTGAAATTGAGTAGTGTGTGCGCCGGGTGCGGTGGCTCAAGCCTGTAATCCCAGCACTTTGGGAGGCCGAGGCGGGTGGATCACGAGGTCGAGAGATCGAGACCATCCTGGTCAACATGGTGAAACCCCGTCTCTACTAAAAGTGCAAAAAATTAGCTGGGCATGATGGCACGTGCCTGTAATCCCAGCTACTCAGGAGGCTGAGGCAGGAGAATTACCTGAGCCCAGGAGGCGGAGGTTGCGGTGAGCCGAGATCGCGCCATTGCACTCCAGCCTGGGTAACAAGGGCGAAACTCTGTCTCAAAAAAAAAAAAAAAAAAAGAAAGAAAAAAAAGAAATTGGGTAGTGTGATGCCTCCAGTATTGTTCTTTTTGCTCAAGATAGCTTTAGCTATTCAAGGTTTTTTATGTGGATTCATAAGAATTTTAGGATTGATTTTTTTTTTAATTTCTGGGGAAAATGTCCTTGAAGTTTAGATAGGGATTATATTTAATCTGTAGATTGCTTTTATAATATAGATATTTTAACAATATTAGTTCTTTCAATCCATAATCACAGGGTATTTTTCCATTTATTTTGTGTATTATTCAATTTATTTTATCAATTTTTAGTTTTCAGCATGTAGATTTTTCACCTCCTAAATATTTTATTGTTTTGCTTAACTGTTATAAATGGGATTGTTTTCATAGTTTGTTCTATAGATAGATCGCTGTTAACATATAGAAATGTGACTACTTTTTGTATGTTGATTTTCCTACAACTTTATTAGATTCGTTTATTAGTTCTAACAGCTTTTTGTTAGAGTCTTCAGGGCTTTGCATATATAAGATCATGTCATCTGCAGAGACAATTTAACTACTCCTTTTCTGATTTGGATGTCTTTTCTTTCTTTCCCTTATCTAATTGCTCTGGCTAAAACTTCCCGTAGGATGTTAAATAGAAGTGGGGAGAGTGGGCATCCTTGTCTTGTTCTTAATTGCAGAGGAAGAGCTTTCAACTTCTCATCATTGAGTATAGTGTTAGCTATGTATAGTGTTAGCTATGTCCTCATGTACTTAATTTGTTGAAGCTTTTTACACTGAATTTTGTTGACTGCGTTTTTCACATCTATTGAGATGATTATATGGTTTTTGTCCTTCCTTCTGTTAACGTGGAGTATCACATTTACTGATTTTTGTATGTCGAATCATCCTTGCACCCCAGGGATAAATCCTACTTGATCATTATAAATGATCTTTTAAAGTACTGAATTCAGTTTGCAAGGGTTTTGTTGAGAATTTTTACATCTGTGTTCATCAAGGATATTGGCTTTTAATTTCCTTTTCTTACAGTGCCTTTGTCTGGCTTTTGTACCGGAGTAATGCTGCCCTCATAAAATGAGTTTGGCTGTTTTTCCTCCTCTTCAGTTTTTTGAAAGAGTTTGAAAAGGATTGTTATTAGTTCTTCTTGAATGTTTGGTAATATTTAATAGTAAAGCCATCAGGTGCTAGACTTTTCTTTAATGTGAAACTTTTAATTATTAATTCAATGTCCTTACTCATTCTGTTTAGGTTTTCTATTGCTTCAAGATTTAGTCTTGATAAGTTGTATGTGTCTAGAATATTTCTTCTAGGTTATTCAAGTGGTTGGCATGTAATTATCCATAGTAGTCTCTTATAATCCTCTGTGTTATCAGTTGTATTCTCCTCTTTCATTGCTTTCATTTATTTCGTGTTCTCTTTTTCTTAGTCCAGCTAAAGATTTGCTGATTTTATTTATCTTTTCAAAAATCAACTCTTAGTTTCATTGGTCTCTTCTCTTTTTTTTCTGGTCTTATTTCATTTATTTCTGCTCAGATTTTTTATCTCTTTCCTTCCAACTTTGAATTTAGTTTATGCTTTCTGTAATTCCTTGAAGTGTGACATCAAGTTGTTTGTTTGGAGTCTTTCTGCTTTTTCAATGTAGGCATTTATTTCTATAAACTTCCGTCTTATAACTGCTTTTACTATATTTCATAATTTATAGCATATTGTGTTTCCATTTTTGTTTGTCTCAAGGTAGTTTTAAATTTTCCTTTTAATTTCTCCTTTGACCCATTGGTTGTTTAGGAGCATGTTGTTTAATATTCGTGTATTTTTCACATTTCCTTCTGTTGTCGATTTCTAGCTTCATACTACTGTGGTTAGAAAAGATACTTAATCTGATTTTAGTTCTCTTAAATTTTTGTAACCCTTCATTTGTGGCCTAACATATGATCTATTCTAGAGAATGTTCCATGTGCATTTGAGAAATATGTGTATTTTGCCACCATTGGATGGAATGTTTTGTGTATGTACTTTAGATTCATTTGGTCTAAAGTAGTTCACATCTGCATTTTCTTATTGATTTTCTCTCTCTTTGATCTGTCCTTTGTTGAAAGTGGGGTAGTGAAGTCCCATACTATTATAGTATCACAGTCTGTCTCTCTCTTCAGATGTATTAATATTTGCTTTATATATTTAGGTGTTTCAATATTGGGTGCATATATATTTATATTTGTTATATCTTCTTGATAAATTTATCCCTTTAACATTACATAATGATCATCTTTTTCTCATTTTAAAGCTTTTGACTTAAAGTTTATTTTATCTGATATAAGCATAGCTACTCCTGCTTTCTTGGTTTTCATTTGCATGGAATGTTTTTCCATCCTTCACTTTCAATCTGTTTTTGTGTGTATATCCTTAAGCATGAAGTGAATCTGTTGCAGGCAACATATAGTTGAGGTATTTTTCTATATCCGTTCAGCCACTTTATATCTTTCGATTAGAGAGTTCAGTCTATTTACCTTTAAGGTAATTATTGATAGGTAAGGACTTATTACTGCCATTTTGTTAACTGTTTTCTTGTTGCTTCCTGTCTTCCTCTCTTGCTGCCTTCCTTTGTGACTGTGTGATTTTTCGCTAATGGCATGCTTTGACTCCTTACTTTTTATTTTTTAAATATCTGTGATAGGATTTTGCTTTGTGGTTATCATGAACCATACATGAAAGATTGTACATTTATAACAGGCTATTTGAAGTTGATATCTACTTAACTTTGATTGCATACAAAAACTCTATACTTTTATTCTATACCCTACCTATTACATTTTCAATATCACAATTTACATCTTTTTATATTGTGTATCACTTAATAAATTGTTGTAGCTATTACTTTTTATTAGTTTTGCCTTTTAACATTCATACTAAAGTATAAGTGATTTATATGCCATGTATTCTGAATTTGTGTACTGATTTTTACCAGTGAGTTTTATGCTGTCATATGTTTTAATGTTGCTAGTTGTTATTCTTTACTTTCTGTTCAAAGAACTCCTGTTAGCACTTTTTGTAGCACAGATTTTGTGGTGATGAACTACTTCAGCTTTTGTTTATCTGGGTGTCTTTATGTCTTCTTCATTTTGAATGGCAGCTTTGCTGTGTACATTACTCTTGGTTGGCAATTTCTTTCCTTTAGCACTTTGAATTTATCATCCTACTCTCTCTTGGCCTTTAAGGTTTCTGCTGAGAAGTCTGTTGCTAGCCTTCCTGGAACTCCCTTATATGTTATTTGCTCCTTTTCTCTTACTGCTTTTAGGATTGCCTCTTTGTCTTTGATTTTTTACAGTTTGGTTATGATATGTCTTAGTATAGTCTTGTTGGGATTAATCTTGTTAAGAGACCTTTGACCTTCCTATGCTTAAATATTTGTATCTTTCCCCAGATTTGGACAGTTTTCTGCTATTATTTTTTTCTTAGAATAGTCTCATGCTCTTACTATTATTTTTTTACATGAGCTTTCTACCCTTTGTCTTTCCCTTCTCTTTATTGAATTCCTATGACTTAAATATTTGCTCTTTAGGTGCTGTTCCATAAATTCTATAAGCTTTCTTTATTCCTTTTTATTCTTTTTATTCTCTGCTGACTATATATTTTCAATTAAGCTGTCTTCAAGTTCACAGATTCTTTCTTCTACTTAATCAGTTTTGCAATTAATGCTCTCTATTACATTTTTTATTTCATTCATGGTAGTTTTCAGCTCCAGCATTTGTTTGCTTGTTTATTTTAACAATTTCCTTCTCTTTTATAAATTTCTCATTCTGGTTTTTTATTGGTTTTCTGATTTTAGTGAATTGTTTCTCCGTGTTTGGTTGAAGTTCACCGAGATTCTGTAAAACAATTACTTTGAATTATTTGTCCAGGTCTGCTACTGGAAGATTATTGTCATCTTTTAGTGGTATTATGTCCTCTCCATTTTTCATGTTTCTTGTTGCCTCACATTGATGCCTGTGCATTTTGTGGATCAGTCACCAATTGCAGACTTTACAGGCCAGTTTCAATGTGGGAAGATTTTCCTCTGTGGGGGAAGGAGGGTGCAAGGGTACTTGCTGGGTGGGGTATAGCAATTCTGGGACTACTGAGAATACCAGCTATGTATTCCCTCTATAGATCTACCCATCGAGGTCAGTGTTGTCAAAGATTTCAGTGCCCCTTAGTGGCTATTGCTGTAGATATCTACAGTGGCAGTGAGGCATGTTGAGGTCTTTGGGTATGGCTGCCAAGGACATCCTGATTTTTTTTTCTCATTGGAGAGGTTAAATGCCCCATGGCACTGGTTCTAACTCATGGGCTCACTTGCAGTGGCAGTGGCACTTGTAGAGTGGCTATGGAAGGACTGAAGCACAAGCATGAGTGGAGAGACTATGGCTACAGGATCTGGGGCAGTTTAAAAACCCCAGGGCCTAATGCACAGACATTTCGCTACTGTATTGATAACAGAATGTGAAGTACCAGATGCTTATGAGACAGCTGAGGTAGCCAAGAATGGGAGCACAGATGTGCTCAGAGTTAATGCAGCTCTGGGGAGAGAATAGTGCTTAGCTCTCTATGGCAGCTGGGCTGTTGTTTGGGACATGGGTACCCCTGTTGCCAATGTTGGTAGCAGTATGTGCGGCTTAGATGCTTGTGAAGTAGCTTTTAGAGCCAAGAAAGGGAGAAGCAGCATGCATAGAGTTAGAGCAGCTCCTGAGTTGGGGTGAGTTCTAGCTCTCTACTGCAGCTGATCCAGGGCCTGGAGCTGGGGCATGCACAGTAAAGGTGTGGTTCTGGGGCCTGGAGCATGAATTAGCTCACCGTAGCAATGGTTCCAGTGTCAGAGGTGGGCCCAGTCCAGCCGCAGAGCCTGGGCTTGCAGTGTGGGCACTAGCAGAGCAGCTGTGGCTTCAGGATCAGGGCTCACTGGAGCATGGGAGAATTGGCAGAGCTTTCCTCAAGGTAATTCAAGAGTAGCTGCTTCTTGGATGGTGGTGAGTGTGCAGATGCACCTCCCTCTCGGGTTCCCCAGCAAAAAGGCTGTTGTTTACCTTGGTGGCAAGTGATGCCAGTGTCCACTACAGAGCAGACCTCTGGAGACTATGGTAGTTTGTGCCACGTGGCCAATACTAATAGCATCTGCCTTCTTTTCTTCCTAGCTACTCCTTGTGCCTCAGGTATACACCACCTCACCAGTGATCCTGTCCTACATAGATATTCTTGTTTCTGTTGCTCCATTGTGTTGCTGCAGATTATTTAATGGACCCCGGTGCTGTCTCTGGGCTCTTTGGGTTTGTGAATAGCTGTCTGTATTTGGTTTTTTAGTTGTGGGGGAATAAAGGCTGGTGTCTCCTACATTGCCATCTTGGTAACCTCACCTCCCATTATATCCCATTCTGATTAAGATTCCTATATTAAATGTTCTCCATGAATACATTTCAAATAAACTCAAAAAAGTCTGACACTGTGTAAGGAAATAGTTGAAGGGAAAATACTAGCTTCTATTATTCACACATGAGTAAAATATGGTTTGGTTTTTAAAAATTTAGATAATCATGGTAGGAGTTTGCATAGTAAGCAAAATCAAGTTTTTGAACAATGCTTACAAAAGATTAATATCTCTTGTCCCACAAAGATCGAAAAGTTAAGGTGAATATCCTTTGTCCTTTTATATTCTGCCTCCAGATTCTCCATCTCACTCACATAAAATAGTGGAAAATTCCACTGATTCTTTTCATTGTGACATCCAAATTGTTCTGCTGTAATAAACATTTTGCTATTATTATTTAATAAAAATCTTATCTCCTATGCCATAAATATAGAACTAGGATTGATATCTATATTTTACCAAAACTTATGAACCAGCAGAAAAACAAAACATTGGTTTTTAAAACATTTTAGAAATGTTTTTTTAAAAAAAATTTTTTTTTTTGAGATGGAGTTTCGCTCTTGTTACCCAGGCTGGAGTGCAATGGCGTGATCTCGGCTCACCGCAACCTCCGCCTCCTGGGTTCAGGCAATTCTCCTGCCTCAGCCTCCTGAGTAGCTGGGATTACAGGCACGTGCCACCACGCCCAGCTAATTTTTTGTATTTTTAGTAGAGACGGGGTTTCACCATGTTGACCAGGAAGGTCTCGATTTCTTGACCTCGTGATCCACCCACCTCGGCCTCCCAAAGTGCTGGGATTATAGGCTTCAGCCACCATGCCCAGCCAAAATTTTTTTAATAAATAAAATGTGTTGAACTTAAATTGAATAGGACTTTTTTAGTGGGATGAGCATCATCCCAGGCTTCTTTCCCAGTCACCCATTTATTAGAAAATGAATCCTAATTCTGGTTCCTTCTATTGATTGTCACCATTCCATGCAGTGTACGGTTCCTAAAATGAGATACGTCATAGCCACCATATTCCAAGAGAATCCTCTAGCTGGGGAGGACAGATTTAGAAGTAGTGTAGTGGCGAATGATGATCTGGTGATTATCCAGCCATGTTGGGGTCTCTCAGTTCTTTGCCGTTTCATCACAGACTACTGACACTCAGGGCTGGCATTTACTTCTGAAACAAACCAAGGAAGCTTCATACAGAAATCCGGATGTCCCACTGCTTGGAGGACAAAGACCTCCATCCCTGGCAAAACAACATTGAAGTTTATTTGGTTTGGCTGCTTTCATAAATTCTAAGAGGCATGCAACTCTGAGGCTTCTCATTTTCTGCAACGCTTAACCAAGTCAGGTTTATTGTTGGCTTTAGACACAACTTGGGACAGTTCACAACAGGGCAATGGGTAATAAGCAGACAGCTAGGCTTTCAGAACCAAAACATCGTTCTTATTGGCTAAATGAAGCCCTAGCTACAACAGGGAATGAGATTTAAATGTGTATGATAAAACAAAATTAGCACCAAATTAACACCAGGCATGACTGACATTGCAGGAAACTCCCTTTGGAGTTGGACTCACAATCACGAAGAATTGATGAAAAGCCAAATTGACTCAAAAAAGTCTATTCTGAAAGCAAAAGGAAAAGAGCTGAGGTAGATAGATATGTATCCACTCTAAAAATTAGCGTATATACCATACAAACTACCCAAGAAGTATGAATGTAGCATACACTTAGTGAATGCCTGGCATGTGCCAGGGGCTTTCTTTTCTCCAGTTTTGACAGCATCTCCTTGAGCCCTCAGCCAGCGGTCAAGTCTGTTTCTCCACCTCGTTTGTCTCCTCTGAGCCTCAGACTCTCTGGAATTATCCTCTGTTGTCTTTTAGATCTTTCACTCAACAGAGTCAAAACTGACCCTTAACTTTTCCTCAAGTAAGTACATACAGTATCTCCACCCTTTATGTATTCAGTGCATTACTGCTTGCACTGTAAGTACATGCAATATCAAAAGTTACTCCATCCACTGTGTTCTCTGTTTGCCCATGAATGAAACTTAGGGAGCATGTAAGGTTGTTCCCTGCCCTTCCCCCTTACCAAGCCCTGGTGATTCTGCCTCACACATAGCTCTTCAATCCGTCCCTTTCTATACTCAGTGCAGTTCCTCAAATCTCTCCCATGAATACTAAATAGTGTCCACTTGGCTCTTTGCCATCAGGTTCAACCCACTTCAGCCCACGCTTCACTCACCACCGGTGTCATTCACCTGAAAATTAAATTTGATATCACTTACCTGCTTAAAACTTTTTCATACGTGTCATCTCAAGGGTAAAATTCAAAGTTCTATTAAAAAGAATAACAATATTAATAAGAGCTACCACACCCAGCTAATTTTTGTATTTTTTGGTAGAGACAGGGTTTCACCATGTTGGTCATGCTGGTCTCAAACTCCGCCTGCCTCAGCCTCCGAAAGTGCTGGGATTACAGGTGTGAGCCACCATGCCTGGCCTATATCCTCATCTTAAAATGAAGAAACTGAAGCAAGTTTTCTCTCAGTAAATATTGCATCCCAGTTTTTGGAAACTATTTGCCAGACTACAATACGCTAAAATTTATCATACTGCATTAGCTTTTCTCTTTGCCCTGAATACCATTCCCACCTAATTAATCACTCTGGCCCTGTCCATCCCAGACCACTAACTGCTCCGTCTTTTTATTGCTATAATCTTATGCATGTATACAGAACTCTTGAGGTTTGTTCATGTCTAGAGTACGTGTACTGTATCTAATTTCGTATGGATTTGCAAGGATTCAGAATGTTGAGTCATGTAGTCGTCTGTTCTCATACTGCTATTAAGATATACCTAAGACTGGGTAAATTATAAAGAAAAGAGGTGTAATTGGCTGACAGTTCTTCAGTCTGTATAGGAAGCTTAGCAGCTTCTGATTCTGGAAAGGCCTCAGGAAGCTTCCAGTTATAGTGGAAGGCAAAGGGGGAATGAAGCATCTCACATGGTGGGAGCAGGAGCAAGAGAGAGAAGCGGGAAGGTGCTACACCCTTTTCACCAACCGGATGTCACATGAACTCACAATCACAAGAACAGTCTGGACGTGGGGGTTGGGGGTGGGCTGGTACTAAATCATTCATGAAGGATCCACCCCCATGAACCAGTCAGCTTACACCAAGCCCCATTTCCAACATTGGGGATTGTAATTAGTCATGAGTTTTGGGTAGGGACACAGATCTAACCCATAACAAGTGGTAATATCATATGTTCTTTGATCATATACTGCTTATAGCTGCCTTTTTTTTTTTTTTTTTTTTTTTTTTTTTTTTTTTTTTTTTGAGATGGAGTCTAGCACTGTCACTCAGTTTGTAGTGCAGTGGCACAATGTCGGCTCACTGCAGTCTCCATGTCTTGGGTTCAAGCAATTCTCCTGCCTCAGCCTCCCACATAGATGGGACTACAGTTGTGCGCCACCATGCCCAGCTAATACTTTTGTATTTTTAGTAGAGACCGGGTTTCAGCATGTTGGCAAGGATGGTCTTGATCTCCTGAACTCATGATCCACCTGCCTTGGACTCCCAAAGTGCTGGGATTACAGGCATGAGCCACCCTGTCCGGCCTATAGCAGCCTTTTTTAAACCCATGGGCTTTTGTGACAACAGTGCATTTAGGGGCATGTTCACCCTTTGATAGTTATCTTGTTGCCTAGAAAACATTTAATCTGAATGCTAGATCTGAAACATTTACTATTTCTGCTCTGGATGGGTCAGAAACTATGGCTGACAGGCTGAATCCAATCCTTTTTCGTAAATAAAGTTGTATTAGAGCATAGCCACACTCATTTGTTTGTGTATTGTCTGTGATTACTGTCTCACTAAAATAGCAGAGTTGAATAGTTGCCACAGGAAACTATATAGCCCAAAAAGCCCAAGATACTTACTTACTGTCTGGCCCTTTATAGAGAATATTTGCTGATGGATGATGTAGAAGATGAGGGATTGAGTATTGTTTTAGTTCATTTAGTGTTGCTACAACAGAACACCTGAGGCTGGGTAATTTATCAAGAAAAGAGGTTTTCTTGATAAATTACCAAAAAAAATTTGGTTCAAGATTCTAATGGTTGGAAAACTCAAGCTTGGGCAGCTACATCTGTTGAAGGCCTTATGCTGATTCAACACATGATGGGAAACAGAAGGGGATGCACATGTACTACAAGATCACATGGCAAGAAAGGAAGCATCTCTTGCTTCCTTTGAGACCAAGGAAGCCAGATTCTTTAACAGACTACTTTTGTGGGAATGAATCCATTCCTGGGAGAGCAAGAACTCACCCCTTCACCTCCACAGGAGGCCTTTAATGTATTAACAACCCAAACACTTCCCAGTAGGCCCTGCCTTCCAGCACTGCCACATTGGACATCAAATTTCAACATGAGTTTTGGCAGACAAACCACATGCAAATCACAGCAAGTGTATACCAGTTTGGTCACATATATTCATGCAAGCATTCATTCATCGATTAAAGCCTTGAAAGCTAGATATTTGTCAGTTATCACAGTGTCAACATATTTTACTGCTCTGTAGCTGCTTTTCCTTAAAGTGAACCAACTAGGGTCGGGTGCAGTGGCTCATGCCTGTGATATCAGCACTTTGGGAGGCTGAGGCAGGGGGATTGCTTGAGGTCAAGAGTTCAAGACCAGCCTGGCCAAGATGGTGAAACTCCATCCCTACTAAAAATACAGAAATTAGCTAGGTGTAGTGGCAGGCACCTGTAATATCAGGTACTGGAGAGGCTGAGGCAGGAGAATCCTCTGAACCCAGGAGATGGGGGTAGCAGTGAGCTGAGATTATGCCACTACACTCCATCCTGGGTGACAGAGTGAGACTCCATCTAAAAAAAAAAAAAAAAAATTTTTTTTTAATTAAAAAAAAGTGAGCCAGCTGGGGAAAATACCCAGTTTATTTGAGGTTATAGTAAAATGGTTCTATTATAATGATACCAGGATCAATAAAATCACCTGCAAAAGTGTGTTTTCTTGAACAGAGCTTTTGTTTTTCATGATGGTTTTTGAAATGAGATTTTTTTCCCCCTATACTTACCAGTAGAATGGTTCTATTAAAAAGAGATTATAGGTCAGGCACAGTGGCTCACTCTTGTAATTCCAACACTTTGGGAGGCTGAGGTGGGAGGATCCCTTGAGGCCAGGAGTTTGAGACCAGCCTGGGCAACAAAATGAGACTTTGTCTCTACAAAAAAAAACAAAAACAAAAATTAGCCAGGTATGGTGACATGCACCTGTAATCTTAGCTACTCGGGAAGCTGAGGTGGGAAGATCACTTGAACCCAGGAAGTTGAGGCTTACCGTGAGCCAAGATTGCACCACTGCATCCTAGTCTGAATGACAGAGCAAGACCCATCTTAAAAAAAAAAAAAAAAAAAAAAAAAAGCCAGAAAGAAAGAAAAGAAGTTATTCTAGGAGTAGAAATACCAGCGTCCAGCCAGGCTCTCATAAACTCTCTCTGTGATTCAATTTCTTCTTCTGTTAGCAGAATAGCGTATATGATCTTCCAGCTCAGGGATATCAGGTTGTATATAACACTTTTTGCTTAAATATACATGACACTTTAATCCTAGGCAGATGACATATTAGAGTCATTAACTTACTTGCATTTGTTGTTTGATTAAATGTCAGGTCCTATTGAAATGAATTTGTTATGTGTAAGCCATATTTCATGTGTCTAATGTAGGCTGTTTATGATACGACCTTTGTCTTTTTATAATGATATTTATTTTCTTGTTTACAGAATTATGTTAGAGTTGTGGAGGTTTGGTGGGATGAATATAAAGACTACTTCTATGCTAGTCGTCCTGAATCACAGGCATTACCATATGGGGATATATCGGAGCTGAAAAAATTTCGAGAAGATCACAACTGCAAAAGTTTTAAGTGGTTCATGGAAGAAATAGCTTATGATATCACCTCACACTACCCTTTGCCACCCAAAAATGTTGACTGGGGAGAAGTAAGTACCAGCCGATAGTCACATCTCAAAGTGTGTGCATTTGTAGACTAAGTTTGGGAGAAGGCAGAGAGAGGTGGAACTATGTGAGTAAGAGAAAAGTATTCTTGGGGGAAAGTTTGGGTAAAAACTGTCTGATAGCATCTACCACCTTTCCACTCCAAGCTACGGCTTGCCAGGCCAGCTTGCCACCATGCTGTCTCCTGCCAGCCTTTTGCTCCAGCTCCTGGCACCTCCATGCCCCTACTCCAACTCCCTTCCTTAACAACTTCAGTTTATCCTACTGCTCTCAGCTTAGAGATCACCAATACTGAAAAGCCCTTCTTATTTTTCCCCACTTCATCAAAAAGATGCACATCTATGCTCTTTCCAGGGGTTCTCGCAACACTCAAATTCGCCCATCTCCCAGCCAGTCTGAGTGCTTCAGGACCTTGATCACCATTGTGTCCAGGTGGACTGATGCAGGGACCCATATGTAATAGGCACTCCAATGATGCTTTTCAAATGAATTAAAAATAATTAAAATCAAACAAAAGCATTTTGAAAATAAGACATGGTCATTTCTTTGTTTATTCAAACTTGTCTTCAGACTCACTTCTGATTGCACCCCTCAGCCCTGCTGTGTGCCTTACGCTGCTGCCCCAGAGGCACACCAAACCTGCTGTGAACATTGAAGTCCGCATCCCTCTGCTTAATTATGTTCAGCAAATCTTGGTTGCGGGCCTACTATGTGCAAGTCACTCTTCTAGACAGAAAATAAGACAAGCAGAGTCCTTTTTCTCAGGGAACTAGCATGCTACCTGGGGATAGAGACCGAAAAAGAGAAAGCAAAAATGATAATGACAGATGGTGATAAATGACAGTGACACCTAATACTGTCAAGAGGACTTAAGGACAGGGTAAGGAAAGCATCTCTGAGGAGGTGACATTTGCCCTCAGAGCTGAACGGTAAAGAGTCAGCCAAGCAGAGAGCCAGAGAGCGGAGCTGAAGGGAAGCAGACCAATGGCATAAACATAATCCTTCTGGAGGCAGATCCCTGATGGGTTGGTGTGTGAAGGATAAGGGCCAGGATGACAGTGAGGTGGTTTTTTTTATTTGAGTAGCTGATAATTTCTTTCATTTGGGCTGCTGAGACTAGAAGATAGTAGGGGAGTGAATGGAGGGGGCAAGGCTTCCGTTGGTGTTCTGGACTTGCAAAGTACCTGCCAAATATTTAGGTAGAGCTGTTAAGGCCTATTGATGATAGATCGTAGGTCGTATGATGCCAAAATCCAGAAGAAAGGCCACTCTGGAGATGCACATTTGGGTCCATCAGCAGGTAAGTCGTTTCATGGGACTGAGTGAGGTCACCAAGAGAGAAAATACAGATAGAGAAGAGGAGAGAAGACCCATCTCTCAGAAGTGCCTGCAGTTAGAGTTCAGGAATGGAAGGAGAAACCAGCAGGGGACACTCATGCTGCTCTCTCTGTACTTATTGCTTTAATACCTTTTTTTCCCTATACTCTTAATTTACCTGTCCTATTACAGCAAATTATGTTTAACTCCCAACTAGACCATAAGCCCTTCAACACACAGATCTCTCTCTGAGGGCCCAGACGAGCGCATCCAACTGCCTGCTTGACGTCGGCACTTGAGTGTCTACAGTCACTTCAAACTCAACCAGCCATAATTGAACTTCCTATCTCCTCCCCCTACCCATCTCTACCGATTTCTCAGACCAAACACTTTGGAGTCTTCCACGAATCCTGTCTTTGTCTCGTACTTCATATCTAGTTCCAGAATCAGATGCCTTCTTGCCTGGTCTAAGCCACCATCATCTCTCACTGAGACTGACTTGTTGGTTCTCCTACAGCCTGTTTCACATACAGCAGTCAGATTGATTGTTTTACAATGAAGTCAAGTCAGTCCCTCTGCAAGAAAACGTGCACCTTCACCTCAGAGTGATGACAGAGTCCTTTCTGGTGGTCTGCAAGATCCACAACATCTGTTCCTGTTTCTCTCTGGCCTCACCTGCCACTGCTCTTCCCACTCTGCTCCAGCCCCATGTCCTTACTGGTCCCTGGACTCCCTCCAGGCATGCGCCTGCCTGTGCTCTTTCTTCTGCCCGGAATGCTTCCCTGCAGACAGTGGGTGCATGGCCAGCTCTCACACCTCCACCTCCTTCGAGTCTGTGAACCTGCCACTTCTCAGTGAGGTCCGCCTTGTTACTTCCCAATACCCTAGCTCCCACTCTAACTTCCTCTTCCTTCTTTCTTTTCGCCGTACTTATCCTCTTTTGCTATAGCAAAAAAGTTGTCTACTAAGTTTTTTAACTTATATTCTGTCTTTTTTTCCTTATGTTCCCAGAGTGAATGTAGGCAAGGGGCCCATGTTCACTACAGCATGCCCGTTACTGGGGCAGTGGTCTTTATTTGGTTCACTGGTGTTTCAGATCCTACAGCATGCCTGGCACACATCAGATACTCAGTATTTGATGATTGAATAAATGCATGAATGAATGGATAGAACTTTTTGTCCTCCTTTTACTATCTCACTCCCAAATATATCTTCAGTTTAACCTCCCTCCATTCTGACATCTGCACTTTATACTTCGTTTCTCGGCATTTCCTTAACATTCCAAGGTAAACCCCTACCTGTTGTAAAGGTGTCTCTTTGGGGCAGTCTTCGGAGCTCCTCCACGCAGGGTAGCAGCTCTTCCTCTGCAAATTCATACCTCCATCCTGACTGGCCGCTACGCCTCACCTCTCTACAGGCGGTGAGGACCATGACTGGCTCCTCTTCGTATCCCCAAAAGCTCTTATCATCAGAGGCGCAGAGTCAGTATTTGCTGGCTGAATGCAAGAACAAAACATTTTATCCAAATACTAAAGTGATTTATAATTCAGAGAAATATACAGTATTTCCAAAAATAGTTATTTTCCTAGAAATTGTAGATTCCAAAGATGGAAACCTGTATTTGCTTTTCATCTACATTGTCTATAGAGAAAAGCCTCACTGCCTGGCCATGTGTCATGCGTGACCTTTGCACCCTAGGCCCTTGGAGGCAGCTACCAGAAGTGCTGCACAGCCATTTGGGAGAGGTCCCTTAGGAATCCAATCTGTTCTAGATATCTAGGTCCAGTATCTAGTACCACTGTGGTTAGGTAGCTTTTCTCTATTTGCTTCTCATTCACATGAATGACTATGATTCTGAAATTGTATTTAATGGTAATTTTTTTTTTCCTCTGTGGTATTTTAGGGAAATCTATAGTCCTGTGCTCTTAGAGAAAGAATCCATTCCAATGTTGACTTCAAGACCATAAATGATTTCCAAACTATGTAAAGACTGATAATGCAGTAATACCTTGTCACTACACATACCCAGATTTTCCCTGTGAACTGTAATATTTAATATGAAATACTAAGTTCTGATGCCAGAGTTTATCAAAAAGTAAACTGTTGCCTGCTTTTTCTTTCTTTGTTCATTTTTTCAGATCAGGGGCTTTGAAACTGCTTACTGCATTGATAGCATGGGAAAAACAAATGGAGGCTTTGTTGAGCTAGGACCCTGCCACAGAATGGGAGGGAATCAGGTAAATCACCTTCCTTTTGTGTTTAAATTATTCTGCATTGAGGGGCATCAGGTTTATTGACCACAGAGTGATCAATAACATAATAACATTATGGTTTTTGCATAAGTAGAATCTAGAATTAATGTCTAATGTAAGAGATTAAAATATATTCCTGTGAGAGTGTGTATCTGTTGCTAACATAACTATGTAAGCCTAGCTCCCTAATGATTTTTTTGCAAGTATTATTCACTAATCCTCATCTTTTTGCCAATAGAGTGTTATTGCCAGTAATACATATTCACTAATATATTTTCTTATGTGGGTATATGTTTGTTTTTTTCATTTTCTCACATTGTTGGTAATTAACAAATATGTGTTAGTGACCCATTTGGTATCTTAGAGACTGAAGAACTTAATGATTTCAGTGTTAATAAGGATCTTCACTAACATCAAAATAAATATGATTTGTGGACTTACAGTTCTAAACACAGAAAAATTATGAAAAAATAAGTTAGCCATTCAATTTAATTATGAGTTAAGTTTCATTCTTTTCAAATATACATCAGCAGGGAAGGTGCCTCTGTTACTTATTTCTCTCTTTTTCTTTTACAGCTTTTCAGAATCAATGAAGCAAATCAACTCATGCAGTATGACCAGTGTTTGACAAAGGGGGCTGATGGATCAAAAGTTATGATTACACACTGTAATCTAAATGAATTTAAGGAATGGCAGTACTTCAAGGTATTCCGCATGTTAACTTCTGAAATAATGTTACATGCTATTTCATTTTCAATAACATCTAGCATGTGGAATTTAGATGAATAAATCTTCAAGCCGACATTCAAATTTGCTAGCATTTCCTCTCATTTAGTCACTTGTATAGGTTTTCCTGAGCACTGGATGACTCATTGTTCTATAATGAGGCATCACTTTTGTTCTTTCATACGATATTGTCACGGAATGAGGCCACGGTGATGTCTGTGAAGAGCGCTGCTAATTTTAGTAATACAAGAAAGTCAGTGTTCTGTGAGGCAGTCATCATCATTGCTCTCACCAAAATCTGATTTTTGAAATCTAAATGAATCATTCATTAAAGTAGAATATATTTATACTATTAAAAATTTGGCTAATACTTCATATTGTCCAGCAGGTGGAGATAGAGACAAACAAATAAAACTTGAAATCTAGGCTTTCATGACGTCTTTATCATTGTGTGCTAAATGCAGCGGGATAAATGTAGCAAGTTGCTTGCTTTAATGGTCAAATTTCGTTATTCCCGTGACACTGCTGTGTTTCAGCTGTGAGTATTTAAAGCTCTGTGGCAAGTCGAGGATTACAACATATTAATAGATTTATGTATAGTTTTCAAAGTCTAGATTTGGCTAACATGAATCAATTTATTATGAAACAAAAGGTAGGAAAAGCTCCCTCACACTAAAGAATGTGTCAACCCTGCATTTTATTTATTCACTCAGTATTTGTTATCACATCCCATCTGTCATGCAAGCAAGCACTTGTTATCTATGTAATAAGGCTATGATCTACCTTCCCTGTTATTGTCATTATGGATAATTTCCATGAAGTGATAAACATGTATCAATTGATGATTTTTTTTCTTATAACAAGTTAGGAAGGAGAAGAGTAGCATAAACCTTAAAGAGTGGAGCATTTATTTTCACAAAGAAAAATGAAATATAATAGCAATAAATGGTAGGGGTCGTGAGAACAATATTAGCAAAATAGTAAAAGGAGGCTAACAGACCAGCAACTATATCAAGAAGTAATCAACCAAAAAATGGCACACAACATGTTTTAGGTATTTTAAAGGACATAGCACTGAATATACATTTCTGTATAGATATTACTAGTCACTTGGGAACCAATGATGTGTTAGGCTGTAGGGGAATTCAAAAATATAGCTAAAGTACACTATCATATAATGGTAGAGAAAAAGAAATGCAAAAATAGAGAGAAGCAAAATGCTATAGGATAGAAAATAGTGATTCATGGGAGGAATTACTTCTGAGGAGTTTCATAGAGGAAGTATCATTGCACAAGTCCTGAGTGTAAAAAGGCTTTCCATAGAAAGTAAATAAAAAGCCTGGATGAGTAAAGACGTGGCATGAAAATGTGTGAAAATTCTAAGAATTGCATTTCATTTGGTATCTCTAAATTGTACTTCAGAGAATAGAGCACTGACCTTCATTTTTTAAGTTTTGGAGAGGGATTGACCTTATTTGAGGAAGGTAGTAATGGGAAACAATGGCTACTCTTAGAAAAATAATTCTGGAAATGTGAGGTATGGGCTCTTCTCAAACTTTCTGGCCTCTGGATTCCCTTTACACTCTTAAAAGTTATTGAACCCCCACCCCCAAATTGCTTTTCTTTAGGTAGGTTATCCTTAGTAATATTTCCAGAATTGGAAATTGTCTGAAAAATTTGTAAAGTTTTTTTATAATTAATTCATCTAAAAGTAACAATATCTCCATTAAACATGAATATAAATGACATTTTTAATGAAAAATAACTATGTTTACCCACAAAAAATAATGAGAGGAATGGAATTCCATATTTTTGCAAATCCCTTTAATATCTGATTTAATAGAAGAAGACAGCCGGATTCTTATACTCTTGCTTCATTTGGTCTGATCTGATATGTTGTTTTAGTTCAAGTATATGACAAAAACCCAGACTCACACAAGCATAGAGTTGGAAAAGAGAGGAGGTAATTTAACAGCCTTTCAGATAATTGTGGCTATTTTTTTATTGTACACCACAACTTAATAAGTGGTAGTTTCTTAAAAGTTACTTGCATTGTAGACTGGTATCCTTGAGCATTGTACCTCACTATGTGGAAGTACTTGATACATACTTCCCACTGCATCTCATAATTTTTTTTTAAGTATACTCGGGTCAAGATTGAATAAAATTAATGTTTTATCGCTTCATCAGTGACATCTTTAAGTGAAACGGGCACTTACTGTTTACTGAGTGTGTGGCAGTGAACAATGTGACTACAGGTGCTAGTTTGATTCATGCTAAGGCACCATCAGTTTTACTCGCCCTCACTTTCACACTATCAGTATAAATGTCGATAAAGTAAAAAGGCAGTAGAGCCTTTGTATTATCATGAAAATAGTTTTGGCCTTACAGACCCAACCCTGGATAGTCTGAACATATGGTGAGGGCCAAACCAGAGCATCTGCAGTGGCGATGGGAAGGAGTATAAACCAGAGACATTGCACACATCCATCCTTAGTGTCTGGTGTAATGTGATGAAAGAGGGAAAGTGCAGTATTTCCTAATGACTGGAAAGCTGGTATTGTCATTACCCAGGATAGAAACAGTAGACATAGATATGGGGAGCACATAATGAATTTAGGTTTGTATACATTGAATGCCAGATACCAGCAGTATATTGTGACTTAACAAGAAAGATCTTAGGACTTAGAAAACTGACAATCAAGAGAAATCCAGAGTCTGGGGTGTGGCTGATAAGCGTATCCATTTGCTTAAACTATCTCCTAATGAAAGCCAAGTGATGACTTCTGATGTCAGTGGTATCAAGAGTCCACATTTGAAACTTTTTTCTTACTATGTTTTTCAGAACCTGCACAGATTTACTCATATTCTTTCAGGAAAGTGCTTAGATCGCTCAGAGGTCCTGCATCAAGTATTCATCTCCAATTGTGACTCCAGTAAAACGACTCAAAAATGGGAAATGAATAACATCCATAGTGTTTAGAGAGAATAAAAGAAACCAGTAACCTACCTACTGACAAGTAAATTTATACAGGACTGAAAACCGCCTGAAACCTGCTGCAACTATTGTTATTAACTCTGTACAGCTCCAAACCTGGAACCTCCTGATCAGTTTCAAGGACATTGATAAACTGTGATTTTACAATAACATTATCATCTGCAGTTACTGTTTACAAGACTGCTTTTACCTTAAACTTTGTAGATGTTTACATCTTTTTGTTTTAAGATGATGTTGGTAATTTGTGCCTTTAGCTCTGTTTTATTAGACAGAGTTAAAGCACATTGTCTTCTTTGGGATTACACTCAGGGGTCTGAAAGGCAGTTTGATTTTTATTTTTCACACTTGAAAAAGGTTGGAGTAGCCAGACTTTCATATATAACTTGGTGATTATCAACCTGTTGTGTCTTTATTTAATTTTACATCCTTTTGAAGCACTGCCACAGGTTATTAGCCAAGGTGGCCTTCCTTCACAGTCATGCTGCTTTTTTGAAAGGTGAATTTCAACACATTTAGTGCCTCTTTCATTTCTCAGTATATATTTCAAGAGCTTGTGATGAAATTTATAGGATGGTAATGATGGACTTGTCACCAGTATGGGGAATACTTTTACTACTTAGAAATGAATTTATGTGCTGCCATTTGCCATAAAGTTAAATGTTGTATGGCTTGAAAAAGAAATGACAATATGGAACATCCCAAGGCTTTCCCATCGGGTTGGAAGTTGTGTGGCATTTGCTCCCTTACCTACTGGCATTCCCAGTACCCTCTGTCCATACCTACTTCTAGGATTGTAAAGGAGTCTTCCAACTAGAGAAAAATTGTCCACCAACATTTGGAATTTATCTTCTCTAATACCTGTCACTATAGAAAACTATTATCAGTTTTATTGTTACCCCCCAAAAGAGAGGGTAACAAAATCAGCAAAACAACACTATAAACATGTCAAAGGTTCATTCTGACTGAGGTAAGACCTTCCAAGCCCTTGCTAGATTAGGCCTTCTAAAACTTGTGTGCATTATAACCTAAGTTGTGCAACCTGCAAAGCCAAGAGTGAATTGATGTTTCATTTATATTTTCATCCAAATGACATTATCTGCATGTTTTTAAAATTTAAAAACAAAGGAGTATTTAAAAACACAGTTCATTAACAAATGTGAATGACTTTCTGTTAGATTGGGTGGTCCCTAGTGTTTCTTAATTTCTTTTTAGGAAATGTATTTTTTAAAGTATTTTTCCAGTAAACGGAAGATTTGTTTGGATTTAAACATTTACTAAGAGTATACCTATTACGAAAACCAAATATTCCAAATGGTCAATTCAATTTTAATTTCTCAAAAGATACTGTTACTGCTCAAAAGATTAAAATGCCTACATTGAGTGCTAAAATAAAGTATGATGAGGTGAGCTGAATGGCAAGTAAGTTAAGCATTTTTGATCCTATAATCATGAAATCATTACAGTGAAAGGAATTTACAAACTACTGCCAGAAGTTTATTTTTTAATTTAAGAGGAAAATGTAACCTATGAATTTGTTTGTTCCAAGCTTAGCTCTTAAATTTGGAGAGTCAAAGTTAAACATCCTCAACAGAGTTTTATTTAAAATTTTGAATTGTCAATTTGTATTTTGCTACTGATCTGTGATCAACCATTTTAACTTTCATCTCTAGGGATGTTTAACATTTATCATTGCAAAATAAATCAACTATAAAAAAAGAAACTAAGAGAGAATTGGTACTTTAATTACTTGGGTGTTTGCAAATAGGCTCCATTTTCCATGTTGAGTAGATTATAACCTTATTAACTATGCATAGGCCTAAGAAAGGTGGCAATGAACTGTGCATGTAAATTTTAAATGGGTATTTTGTGCAATTCATTAAAAGAAAATACTTTATGAATATGATTCTATATATTGAAATCAGAAACCTTACCAAACAAAAACATCAGAAGCTGCTGCCATAATGACTATTTTCTACTGTAGGCTGCTTTGGAAATAATTCCCATATCCTTGCTTTGTAAGTTGATAATATCACTATGCATTTCTACACATTTTATAAATTTGATTTATGCAGATTTTGATACACTGTATGTTTCTGTAGAAATTGTATAAATATTCAAAATTTTATTAGGGTAAATTTGAGAAACTTATGTATATCTTAATTCTGGGTTGCTTGTTTTTTAGGTGAGAAAAAATAAAATATTGTATTTTAATTCATGGGTTTTCTTGGTACTTGTAATCATTTCAAATCTAAACACTGCACATTTGAAATAATTACTTGATTTTACTATTTACAAGACATACTTAATAGCTAAAATATTATAGACCACAGTTATTAATTGAGTATCTGCTTGAGTGTTGCTTAGCATTCTGTTATACATGCTTAGAAACCTCAGAGCTTACATCTCTGTTGAAAGGAAACAAAGGTTTATTTTTACCTATTTGCCTATGTATACCAATTTTTTAAGTTCACACTTTTTTAACTATAAAAAATAACCCCGGCAACATATATCTTTCTTGGCAGCATAATGCTACTATAGAATTGCCTATTAGATGCAAACATGTCTTTAAATCAAATTTTTTTTACGACCTAACAACAAGTAGAGAAAAGTAAAGGGAAGCCTACCACAATGAAATTAGAAATAGTCCATAGGACCTTGTGGTACACCAAACACATCTCAAGAGAAGAGATAGCTGCTAACACATTCAAGTAAGTGGCTGTGTTGATTTGGGAAACTTTCTCTCAACTGACCTGTCTATTGTCATATCTCCCAATTCTTAGCTACTGTAGAGGTGGGCTAAGAAATTTGAAAAAGTGACATAGCACTAGACTGGAGTAAATAAGTTCCTTTATTTCTTAAGTCTCACATAGGGATCTTACAATATATTTCATTTCTGGACATAAAGTAATTGTGGGAAAAAATTCATATATAAGTCAATGGAAAATACGACAAGTACCTCACCAGAGAGCCAGATACCATGAGAAAATTATTCCACGTGAGAGCACTTTTTAAAAAGGGTTGAGCATTAGGAAACTCTTTACTGGCAGCAATCTGTTGCAAGGAAATAGACAAAAATCCGAGGTTTTAGGGGACTACTATTCTTGGAATTAGAGATTAAAGGAAGAATTGTCTCTTAATTAGATTCAGTAATTGCTTTACAATTCTGATTTTTAACATTTTGAAATGTCCATATTGAGGTTAGTGGATTTCAACTTTTTAAGTGAATTGTGCCTAGGCCCTACACCTGAGCAGACAAGATAGAGGGCTCCTTAATTTTCATAGAAGGATGTTAGTGTTCATCTGAATGTATAGTAAAGTCTGAAGTCTATTTGTATTCAAATCCATGTTCTACTACAATTTGCCCATATGACCTTTGATGAGTTTTTACCTTTATACCTCAATTTTCTCATCTATAAACCGGGGAAAGCGGCCAGGCACGGTGGCTCATGCCTGTAATCCCAGTTCTTTGAGAGGCTGAGACAGGTGGATCCTGAGGTCAGGAAATCAAGACCATCCTGGCTAACACAGTGAAACCCTGTCTCTACTAAAAATACAAAAAAAAAAAAAAAAAAAAAAAAAAAAAAATTACCCAGAAGTGGTGGCATGCACCTGTAGTCCTAGCTACTCAGTAGGCTGAGGCAGGAGTATCGCTTGAACCCGGAGGTGGAGGTTACCATGAGCCGAGACTACGCCACTGCACTCCAGCCTGGCAGACAGAGGGAGACTACATCTAAAAAAAAAAAAGTGGGGAAGATAATAGTGCCTATTTTATAGGGTTGTTTTAAGGATTAACTATGTTAGTATATATAAAGTGATCATAATAGTTAGTAGCACATAGTTAAGGAAATAAAAATGTTAACTTTAATTATCTGATGTGAAAGTCTTAAAATCCTCCTTTAATTAGAAGAATAAGACAGCCAAGCTGCAGACCTCTGTAAAGGTTTTGTGTATATATGCATGTGTTTCATGTCAGATATCATTATCCCCACTTTACAACTGAAAAAAATGAGGCTCAGAAGTTAAAGAAACTGGAGACAAAATGGTTACCATAAGGGAAAAAATTAACCCTACTTCATGTCATTCACATAGCATGTGAATGGAGTTTTTAGTGATCTAATTCAATCCTTGGATAGAACTAAGTGCATCTTGAAGAATACCTAAGATACTGTATCCTTTAAATTACCTTTAAATGAAATTTATCTTGGACTTTTGCTATGAGGAAATAAACAGCAGCTGTATTAAGAACTACCCAAAACAAAACTAAAACTTTGAGTAGAAAATAGAGCTGATGTAATCCCAGCACTTTGGGAGGCCGAGGCGGGTGGATCACAAGGTCGAGAGATCGAGACCAACCTGGTCAACATGGTGAAACCCCGTCTCTACTAAAAATATAAAAAAAAAATTAGCTGGGCATGGTGGCGCGTGCCTGTAATCCCAGCTACTCAGGAGGCTGAGGCAGGAGAATTGCCTGAACCCAGGAGGCGGAGGTTGCGGTGAGCCGAGATCGCGCCATTGCACTCCAGCCTGGGTGACAAGAGCAAAACTCCGTCTCAAAAAAAAAAAAAAAAAAAAAAAGAAAGAAAATAGAGCTGAATAGATTTCCACTTCTAGCTATAACATAGTAATTGGAATTGGACTTACGTTGCTACCCGAAACAACTGTTAATACTGAACAAAATATATGAGGCAACTGTTTTCAGGAATTGATACCAGTCAAAGCAGACTGATATCTAAAAGAAAGGAAATACACAAGGCAAACCCCAGGTTCACCATGTCTGTCTCCTTGGGAGGATATTTCCAACCATGGTGCAAGGAATACAGCTCAGAATGGTGATACCGTTGAACTGAGGCAGAGTGGAGGCTCGTGGCTGCTGAAACAGCTAGAATCTACAATCCAGGTTACTAGAGGGGAAGTACGCTTGAGTGTCAGATCTCTACAGAAATTTTTATAGCACTGCCATTTGCAAAAGCAAAAACCCTGGAAACAACCTGAATGCCTACCAACAGGAAAAAGGATGAATTGTGATACAATCACACAATGGAATATTAGAGATGAGTAAGAACAAACCAGTTGTTATAAACAAGTTTTAGGTGTACAAGCTGAAAAATGCAAATGCCAAAACACTTTATTCAGTACTTTTTATAAATATCAAAAGTGACTAAAATTAAGCACATAGTATGTTAGACATTTATACATGATAGGTTAAATAACTTGCCCAAGTTCCCAATTTTAGTACTGGGGTAAAGGACATAATCAACTCCAGTACATCCTTCTAATCCTGTGGGATGAATTTCTATTTGGTGCCAGGAAAAACTCTCCTAAAGAACATGTTTTCCACATAACTTCTTTAATTTTCCTCTCTACCTAGACTCTCAGGAACTTCAGGGCTGGGAACAGTGGCTCACACCTGTAATTGCAGCATTTTGGGAGGCCAAGGGGAGAGGATTGCTTGAGCCCAGGAGTTCAAGACCAACCTGGGCACATAGCGAGGTATGGTGGCACACATATGTAGTCCCAGCTGCTTGAGAGGCTGAGGCAGAAGGATCACTTGAGTCCGGGAGGTGGAGGCTGCAGTGAGCTAGAACTGAATCTAATACTCCATCATAGTGTCTGTATTAACCCATGTACATTGGCACATATACTTTGAGCTAATATTTATTAAGCACTTACTATTTCTTGCCACTGGAATAGGTGTCTTATTACCTCATTTAATCCTCAAAAACGTTTAAATTTTACAGATGAGGAAACCAAAAGGTTACCTGAGTTGTCTGTTACAAAACCAGTAAGAAAAACAGCCCTATTCAAACTCGTGATTCACTACCTGGCTTTTAATTTCTTTCATAACCTTGTTTTTCTCTCTTTGTATATTTTGTTTTTCATTGTATATGCCAGTAATCTTTCTTTGCTAAAAACGTGGAGAATAAAGAATTACAAAAATGTGAATAGATTATGGTATTTACTCTTACCTGCCCACGATCAATGTCCAAGTTGACTGTTCAGCCTTTCCAAAGATGTCTGGACTAAAGGCCATTTCCAGTTCCAAAATTTAGTGCTACATAATGCTGAAAAGTTATTTTTCCTTTTTTTTTTTTTTTTTTTTTTTGAGGAGTCTTGCCCTGTTGCCAGGCTGGAGTGCAATTGTGCAATGTTGGCTTACTGCAAACTCTGGCTCGCAGGGTCAAGCAGTCAAGTGATTCTCCTGCCTCAGCCTCCCAAGTAGCTGGGACTACAGATGTGTGCTAACACGCCCAACTGATTTTTCTATTTTTTAGTAGAGATGGGTTTCACCATGTTGGCCAGAATGGTCTTGATCTTTTGATCTCATAATCCACCCGCCTTGGCCTCCCAAAGTGCTGGAATTATAGGCATGAGCCACCACACTCCGCTTTTCTTTCCTTTTAATGTGACAGTCTACTGCACTCCTGAGTCACTATTCTCTAGATGTCGTAACACCTAGGAAGAGGATCACTAGAAGTTAGCGCTGTTAACTCTGAAGAATAAAGGCCCAGGAGCACAATGAAGTTCCATTGAGAAACATTTTTATTTACCTTTACTGCAGGGTAAGTTGAGTTTCCACTCAGGGCAAGAAGGGTTTCTGAACTATAAAAACAATGGTTAGCTGTAAGGCATATATAAACTTTTATTAACCTTGGACCTGACTCAAGTAAAAATTATTAAACTTACATTTACCTATACTATTTAATTTATAGAAGTGGCAAACTGGTGACCTTTGGGCAGCATCTTACCTATAGACATGTTTTGACGCCAGAATTGGAATTCATTGCCAATACTATATTTGAAATTCAGAATTCATGAGTTCTAGTCTCCTGGGAATCCTGTATCCACATTTCCATCCAGCAACTGGATTGAGCTAAACAGTGGCTGTCCCCTTTAACAGGGGTATTTGTATGTTTAGAAACATGCATAGAACAGTTTCTGGAATTAGGGACAAAGCAGTACACAAAAGTGAAAATTACTCTTTGCTTGACCACATCCAGTCTTTTTCTCTGACTCGTCCCTATAGGTCTTGGCATTTCCTAATGTCAATAAATACTCTGCCTTTCTCTGAAACTGTCAGTCTCCAGTAGGAATCTCATGAAGAACTAATCCAAATATGGCTTATTTCTAGAGGTATGAAATTTCGTTTTTAAAGGACTAGATCTTACACAGTGGCATAACAGCTCCTTTAGCTTTCTTGATCATATTCCCCCAAGAAATAAATTGCTGCTTTGTAAAGGATTTTTAGTAATAAAAAGTCATTTAAAATAATGCTATATTTGCACTATTGTAAGACAACCTTATGATTTACAGGAAGTGAAACTGGTAAAAGATAAAATGCAAAAAAAAAAAAAAAAAAAAGATACTTTCCTCTGTTGATCAGGTTTGCAGCGAATGGTCTGTTTGATACGTAAGATAATTTAGCAAATTCTAATCCAGTGTCCTGCTTTTATAGAGTAAAAGACCAAAAGTAGTTGCTGACATCAGGAAGGAAATTTGAGCCTCAGGGACCTTGCATTAAAATTAAATCCAGAAGGATCAAAGATTTAATCAAAAATTTTAAAAAAGAAAACAAAGGATAATTGTTCTTATAGTCTTGGAGTTTTATGATCTTTGAGTGGGAAGGGCCTCACTAGAAATGTTATCAGTGAAAGAATTGCTAAATTTGCCTATATAAAGAAATCTCAGCATAAAAAAAGCATCAGTCAAAAGGGTCATTTTCCTTAATATACAGTATTCCCAAAAACCATTAATAAAAAGACCAATGAGAAAAGAACATAGGAAATACAAATGGCTTTTTTTTTTTTTTTTTTTTTTTGAGATGGACTCTTGCTCTAGTCACCCAGGCTGGAGTGCAATGGCACAATCTCAGCTCACTGCAACCTCCACCTCCAAGGTTCAAGCAATTCTCCTGCCTCAGCTTCCCAAGTAGCTGAGATTACAGGCGCCTGCTACCACTCTTGGCTAATTTTTTTTTTATTTTCAGTAGAGATAGGGTTTCACCATGTTGCCCAGGCTGGTTTTTGAACTGACCTCAAATGATCCACCCACCTCGGCCTCCCAAAGTGCTGGGATAACAGGAATGAGCCACCACACCCAGCCCCACAAATGGCTCTTAAATATTAAAAAAAAAGGGTGGAGGTGGGGGCGGGGAAAGCGTGGTGGCTCACACTTGTAATCCCAGCACTTTAATGGGTGGATTACCTGAGATCGGGAGTTCAAGACCAGCCTGACAAACATGGAAAAGCTGTCTCTACTGAAAATGCAAAATAAGCCTGGTGTGATGGTGCACATCTGTAATCCCAGCTACTCCAGGAGGCTGAGGCAGGAGAATCGCTTCAACCTAGGAGGCAAAGGTTGTGGCGAGCCAAGATTGCACCATTGCACTCCAGCCTGGGCAACAGGAGTGAAACTCAGTCTCAAAATAAAAAACATTTAAAAAAAACTCATAATAGAAAAAATTTTATGTATGTATCAGAATAACAAAGACTAAGAAGTTTGAGAATTATGTTGCTGAGATGATGAAACAGGCACTCCAAAACATTTCATTGCTATGGAGTAGGAATTAGTACAACTTCTATTAAGCAGCAATTTTATTTAGCAGGCTTCGTAAGTTAACAAAGCATAAGAGCAGTTTCTGGCAAGTATTAAGTATAGGTTTTAGCTAGTGTAATTAGCACATTTTTAAATATGCATGTCTTTCTGCCAAGCTACTTCACTTCTAGGTCTTTATGTGTGACATCAATATGTTTTTATTTTTTCAGACAAAAGTCTTGGTCTGTTGCCCAGGCTGGAGTGCAGTGGCATGATAACTCATTACAACCTAGACATCCCAGACTCAAGCAATCCACCTCAGCCTCCCCAATAGCTGGGATCACAGGCATGGGCCAACATGTCAAGCTCATTTTTGGTAGAGACAAGGTCTGTGTTGCCTAGGCTAGTCTCAAACTCCTGGGCTCAAGTGATCCTCACACCTCAGACTCCCAAAGTGCTGGGATTATAGGCGTGAGCAACCATACCGAGCAAGTGTTTAAAAGAAAAAAAACAATTATCCTATTATCCTTAGGGAACTGATTAAATTATAATCTATAAATGGGATACTACATAGATAGCTATTTAAAGGAAAATGGCAGCTCTGTTGTACTGAAAACAGCCTCCAAAATAAGATTAACAATATGCTTGTATACAAGAAGCTTCCATTTAACACTGTAACACATACACATACATATATTATTTACACTTAGGTCTGTCTTAAAGGATAGAATATTACATTGTTGGTGTTGGCCCCTGTAGGACAAGGTAGGAGAATCAATGAAGGGTATATACTACATATCCTTTTACATGCTGTACTATTAAGATAATGATCTATTTTAAAAACTATTTCACAAACACAACTCCAAGTAGAGGCTGGTTTGAGATCTAATTCTTGCCCTCATTTCAGTGATTTACACTATGTTCACTCCTTGAAGTCACCCGATCTTGATTATTGAGAGTTCTGAGATTTGGAATTTTGATCCACACTTAAAAAGAGTATCAAAGAGGTGAGTGGATCACCTGAGGTTGGGAGTTTCAAACCAGCCTGACAAACAGGGAGGAACCTCATCTCTACTAAAAATACAAAATTAGCCGGGCATGGTGGTGCATGCCTGTAATCCCAGCTACTCAGTAGGCTAAGGCAAGAGAATCACATGAATCTGGGAGGCAGAGGTTGTGGTGAGCTGAATTCATGCCGTTGCACTCCAGCCTGAGCAACAAGAGTGAAACTCCATCTCAAAAAAAATCAAATATGAGCCAGGAAGGACCCATATCTTAAATCCTGAGTTCATTCTGGAGAAAACTCTTGATTAAAAGAATTGTTCTTAGCTTAGAAGGTTAAAAATATATTTTATAGAGAAGAAAATAAATCACAGACTCCCCAAAAAAAGTGACAAGGAACCCAATAGGTCTGCCTCTGAGATCTAATATATTTAGAAGATTTTAAGGAAACAAACTATTACTGTATTTCAGTTTCAGAAACTCTTATTTCATATCCTTTATGCAGTAGGTACTACTTTAAAATAACACTTCGACCATTAAAACACTGTGAAGTAGGTAAAGTTCATGCTGCTAGCATTTGGTAGAGCTCAAGAACTGGGACCCAAATGACATAGATATGTACCTAAAATAGAGGACCCCAACACCAGAAAACACTGAAAATCAGTTTTCATCTTATGATCAGTGAAAGCCCCAAGTTTGAATGTAGATTTTTTCATTTTTATGTAGGCCAATTTATCAATTCTTTCATAGCTTTGGGAGGCCTCTCCCACTCAGAATATAATTAATAGGAGGGCAATCATAAAGATGTTTGGAGATTTTACTTAAGTCCATTTGCTCTAACATCCCACCATTTAACAGAAGATTATCCTTACCAATTATGACAAGAGACATCCAAAGCTCCCATGGTTAGGTAACAGGAATCCTGACTTCTATTTTAAAATTTGGTAGGTAACCAAGATTGTCAAATTTAACTCTAAAATCATAAGCACATAGCCAACCCAGACGCTCAGCCTTCACTAATAGCCTCTAATAAGTTATCTTAATTAAAATACAGCAACTGCTTCCTTAAACATTCTTAAAATAACTGCCTTCCCTTGTAAATAATACAATTCCTAGAAAAATTTAAAGAAGTCGTGGAATATAACCATCTCAAATGGTTTCTTATAGTTGCCTGTAATTCTAAAGCTTAAGACCAAACTGAAGATACATAGTCGTACCTTACTGTGGTTTCACTTTCCCACAGTATTTTCATTCACAGAACTTATTACAGTATATTACTGCCTTGTTGGCCTTATTTATAAATTAAACTTTATCACAGTTGTGTATGTATAGGAAAAAACTTACTCGGCTTTTTCTGGCATCCACTGTGGGTCTTACACCCCACAGGTAAGGAGGGACTACTGTAACTCAAAATCTACTCTGGTATTCTATCTTGAAATAGCTCAATTTAACAGAAAAACTCAACCTTGCTCCTTCTCTTCAGCTTGCCCTTTTAGATACGAATTCGCATTCTAGCTCCTCTTCTTCATATTAAAAAGAATTTTTCACCCAAAACAAATTGTTAATGTGCTGGGTCAGGTGTAGTGGCTCATCTATATTCCCAGCACTTTTGGGAGGCCTAGGTGGGTGGATCATTTGAGGTCAGTTCAAGACCAGCTTGGCCAAAATGGTGAAACCCTGACTCTACTAAAGATGCAAAAGTAGCTAGGAGTGGTGGCACATGCCTGTAGTTCCAGCTACTTGGAAGGCTGAGGCAGAAGAATTGCTTGAACCAGGAGGCAGAGGTTGCAGTGAGCTGAGATCACGCCACTGCACTCCAGCCTGGGTGACACATCTCAACCAAAAAAAAAAAAAGAAAAGAAAATTAGTATATATATCTGATAAACCCAACAACCAGTTAGCTAATAAACAGAAATGTCAACTTTTAAAGAACATTTCGGAAATATGAGCATGTTTGGTTTTCTTTTAGGCCTCAAACATTTTACTAGGTCAACTGTGTCTAAGAACTATTAGGCAGAAATGCCAAAAAAGCCAACATGGCTCTGGTCTTCAAATGGCTTTTTCAAAGTAAAAATTAACTCGGCATATCAAGACAGACAATAGAAATAATATACATAATTTTATTACAAAATTTTTTTCTTAAAAAACAAAAGACAACATCCTAAAAAACCAAAACTTTGCTACTGATACTAATTCCTAGAAGTTTGCTGTGCTACCATACACAAGTCAAGAAATTTAAAAAACCATTAAATATTTAGGAACATTCAACACCAGAAGCTGTAAAATCTAACTGTATGTAGTAGCCCATCGAAAAGCTACAACCTGCATTTTTTAGAAAGTATTTTCTCTACAGAGAATCTTATCAGCTATACAAAAATCTGTACATTTTTATACTGAAGCTAATATTGAGCTGCACTTGAATTCACATTCTTAGCAAAACAATTGCCTGAGCACACACGCACACTCCACACTCATCATTAAAGGATAGCCATTTATTCTTCATCTTCATCCTCTTCCTCATCATCTTCATCTTCTTCCTCCTCCTCCTCCTCCTCATCTTCTTGTTCATTCTTCTTCTTTGAGCCTGTTGGCCTGCCAGGGCCTTTCTTTCCTGCTTCACTTTTGCCCTTGGCACGATATGCAGCAATATCCTGAAATATTGTCAAAAAAAAAAAAAAAAAAAGTAAGCATCCGGTGTCATTACTCAACTGTGAAAACCACTTAGTTGTAAACAATCTAAGATGATTGACCAATAACCCTGATAACTGTCTAAAAAGGTAGTCCCAGTCTAAGTTTTAAGAGCACTTATTCCCCTAGGCTTTAACAAGTTAATGTGTAAAATGACAAGGATTGCAAGCAGTATCAGTACTTTCACTACCAATATCCTTTTACCTCACACAGTCCCATAGTCCCCGCTGTACCTTCAGATTTTATAAATATGTACGTAAAACAATTCGACCCTCTGCTTTAAAAAAAAAAAAAAAAAAAAAAAAAAACAGATTATACAGTAACTACAATTAAGTCTGTCTGCAACTAGTATGTAAGAATATACTAGTGCTACAAACACTAGTTTCAGTCAAAAGGAAAGTTTCAAGTACCTTGTGTGGAAGTGTAAAATTTTCATTAGACCTTTTCACAACAAACTTGACACCCATTAATACAAGATTAACTACATTTCCAAAGCTGTCTATAGTTATTACCTATACCTAGTTTTAACCGCAGCTTTAAAAAATTAAGACGACAAAGTACCTTTTCATATTTCTCCTTTAGTTTAGCTGCTTTCTGTTCATAGGGTTGTTTATCTTTGGCTGACTGCTCAGACCACATTTCACCCAGTTTCTTTGCAGTATCCCCAATGGATAGGCCTGGGTGTTCACTTTTGATCTTTGGGCGATGTTCAGAGCAAAACAGGAAGAAGGCAGATCTGAAAGGAAGCAACGGAGTTCAATAACCTGCAGGAAAAATCCAAGGGGCGATCCGATGTATTTTAAACTTACGGCGGCCTTTTAGGAGCATTGGGATCCTTTTTCTTCCCTTTCTTGTCACCTTTGGGAGGCACGTAATTTTTCATCTCCCTGTCATAGCGAGCTTTGTCACTTTTTGCCATATCTTCAAACTTCGACTTCTCCTTTGCAGACATGGTCTGTGGACATAAAATAAGCGCCAAAATAGAGCAAAATTCTCGACTATACACATCCGCAGGCGGCGATGTTCGCTCTCCTCGTCTTGTGAGTACAAACCCGACACCGTCCGCCCGAAACTCTTGAGCCGCCCGGGCGAGCCGTCGGGGCCGAGGCGCTCGCGAGCCGCCTCCCACCTGCCCGGCCGGGCCCCGCGCCGCGCCCGCCCCCGCGCCCGCCCCCGCGCGGCCTCACCTTCCATCTCTCCGAACACTTCTTGGAGAACTCCGCGAAGTTGACCGAGGAGTCCGGGTGCTTCTTCTTGTGCTCCTCCCGGCAGGTCTGCACGAAGAAGGCGTACGAGGACATTTTGCCCCTCGGCTTGTTGGGGTCTCCTTTGCCCATGGCCCGCAGCACGGCGTCCACCTGGCGGGGCGGGGGAGAGGCCGGCGGGTCGGCGCGCAGCGCTCGGCGGCCAGGGCGGACGCCGGCGGGGCTCCGCTTCCCGCCCAAAGCCGCCGCCGCCCGCCCGCGCCCCGCCGCGCCCCGCGCACGCCCTCCTCTTCCTCCTCCCGGCCCGACTCCCGGCGCCCGCCCGGCGAGGGGCTCACGGGGCCCGCGATGCCGCCGCCCGCCCTCCGCCGCGTCCGCTGCCTCCGCAAGCGCCCTCGGAGCGCCTTTCCGGAGAGAAATGTCCCCCGGCTTCCACGTCACGCGTCTCCCTCAACCGTTAATCACCTCGCGGCCGACATCCGAAACTCCCGGAACCGGCCCGGCCGGGGGAAGTTTCCGCCTTCCCCGAACGCCCGCCGGCCCCCCACAGCCCCAGCCCCCGCCGACCCGCACCCGAACGCGGCTGGCCAGGTCCAACCCCGAAAGCCACAGCGCCGAGACCGAGCAGAGGCTCCGGGAGAACGGGGACAGGCAGGCCCACGAACCCGAAGGGACTGGAGGAGATTCCTGCCTGGTACGAGCTTTTCCTCAGAGTCCCGCAAAGCGGCCGCACACGACTACGACGCTTCCCTCGCGAGGCTCCGGCGTGAACTGGTTTCTCTCTAACGCAATTCTCAACCTCTTGTTTTGCAGAGTTCTCCGCGCCACGGCAACTTGACGAGCTAGGCCACAGGCCACACCCCCACTTCTCTGATTGGTTCGGACAATTATTCAAACCCAGATAGTCCCCGCCCCCTGGCCACAGCGGCTTACGATTGGTCAGTGTCCTACCAGGCCCGCCCCCCACGCCCCAGCCTAGCAGGTTCGGTGGGTCGTCCAGGTCGTTAACTCCCAGACCCGTTAGAACCGGTCAGGAGAGGAATGTACTGCTCGATCCTGATTGGCGGCGGGAAGAGGGTTTGAAAAATGGCGGGCCTCACGCTGACTGGCTGGGGCTGTAAACGGGGGGAGTGGTTGGCTCGGGAATCCCGCCAGATTTAAAAATACTGAGTCGAGACTAGGGGGTGGGTCTTCTGGCTTGCCGACTGCGGCGGCAGCTTGCTGGCGCTCAGGTGTTGGAGGAGGCCCGCCTTGCCCTTCTGACCACCATTTGGGTCCTGCCTGTTCCGCGCCTTGGCTCAGCCCTGCTGCGCTGGCTCCTGGGAGCTGTAGTCGCTCTGTTCTGTGGCCGCCGAGGGTCTCTCCTGCGCCGCCCCGACAACAAATTATAAATGGGAGAGCTTGGATTTTGCCCTGCGAATGGATTGCCCGGCTCCTCCCGCTGTCGCTGACGCTGGCGCAGAACTCGGGGAAGGCGAGGCGGGGAACCCCGAAAAGGGCGCGGGGGGCCGGGAGGGAGCCGTTCCCGCGTCGCGCGGGGTGCTACAGAACGTTCTGAAAGCAGGGCGCTTCCCGCCGAGGGAGTTTCCCGCAGGAGGCCCCTCCTTCCTTCCGTCTTTGTCTCGGGTGACAAATACTGGGAGGTAAACAAGGGCGCCCTGCGGGTCCCGAAGGGGCGGAGGCCCCGGCTTCAACCCCCCTGCCCCGCCCCCTCTTGCGGGGTGCGGAATTCCAAACCCGGAGATCCTCGGCGCCCGCGCCGCGCCCTGCAGCGCCGCGCCCGGAGCGCGGATCCCCGCGGCGGTCCAGCCTTTGGCTGTCCTGGCCTTCGCCTGAACGTTCACGGCCTCGTCTTACTCGTGTGGTACTTTTTAAAAATCGAGAATCCTGGCCGGGCGCGGTGGCTCACGCCTGTAATCCCAACACTCTGCGAGGCCGAGGCGGACGGATCAAGGTCAGGAGTTCGAGACCGTCCTAGGCAACATAGTGAAACCCTGTCTCTACTAAAAAAAAAAAAAAAAAAAAGAATTAGCCGAGCGCGGTGGCGCGTGCCTGTAATCCCAGCTACACTGGGAGGCTGAGACAAGAGAATCGCTTGAACTCGGGAGGCGGAGGTTGCAGTGAGCCGTGATCGCACCACTGCACTCTAGGCCTGGCAACAAAGCAACCGTTTCAAAAAAAAAAAAATTGAGAATCCCATAAAAACAATGCATGCTCCCTAGCCCACTCCCAGTTGCATATATTCTCCGTACGGCATACCGCCACTTTTTACAGGCTCCTCCAAGCCCGGGGTAAGAACCTCCGTTTTAGTACTTAGGGAGAGCGCGCCAAAGCTAACTTACCTTACTGCTTACCAGCGTCACAAGCTGCTTTTCCCAAGGTAGGAGGACTTTAATGGACATCCTGGTGTGCTATTTCTGTGGCATTTAGTTTTGAGGGGTTCCTCCTATTATTGGCATATAGGTTTTATGACTGTTTCAAGAAATTTTAAATATTTCGTGTTAATTTTTCAGTTAAGTTCGTTGGCACTTGTTAGACTATGCTCTTTGGTTTATACATGGTTATCATACGCAATAGTACTTGAAAACCATTAGTTATATATCTAGGTTTACTAATAAAAATGAGAGCTTAAAAAATGTATTTTCCTAGGAAATGGATAGTGGTTGTCCAACATTGTGAATGTACTTAATGCCGGTGAATGGTACACTTAGGAATGGTTAAAATGGTAACTTTTATGTTATACATGTTTTACCACAAAAGAAAAAAAAAGTGGCAGTTTTTCAAACAACAACAACAAAAAATGCATTTTCTTGTATTTAAGGGTCCCGGAATTTCATTATCATACTTCTTAGTTTATAACATTCTCTTTTCTGCCGTAAGTTGCAATACCTACAAAATCACAGTTGCAAGTGTGTTATAAAAGCACCCAAAAATCCAAATTAACCAAATAATTCATACTACTTTTTTCAAATAGCAGTTAGCAGTGAGATCACTAATGCATCACACTTTTAAAAATGTGTTTTTAAATTTTATGTTTAGAATATTATTTTTTTAATTATGGCATAAAGTAAGCTGTGCTTATATAAAAACTGGGCCTTTATTCAAGAACAGTGTATTGAATATGCCAAGCATTGAGCTTGGCAGTAGAGATACCAAGATAAACAGTCATAGCTTGTGCTCTCAAAAGTTTAGTGTAGAGAGACAGTATTAGTTAAAATTGTTCAATAATGAGGGCATAAGACAGTCACCTAAGATTGTATAGGGCAGTAGGAAAACCTTTCTATGAAAGTAGCATTTCAGTAGAGTTATATTGGAGAATGTCAAGTAAAGGAAAAAAAAAAAAAAAAGTCTCTTGAGAGAGCCTGGCTTATTTGGGGATCAACTAGTAGTTCAGTATTATAGGAGCTTAGTGATCATGATGCTCACAACCTGCAGCTTATAAAGGAATTTAGTCTTTATCTCTCCAGTGAAAAACTGGGGAGAATGAAATAATTAGGTTTCCATGTTAGATAGCAGTGTCAATAGCGTGGTATAAATAAATGAGGTAAGATTATAAATCAATTGACTGTTTTCATTCTTTTCCATGTAAGGTTAGAAATCAATTCACTGTGTTCATTCTTTTCTATGAGTCCCAAACTGTAGTCAGAGGGGCAATGGTAATAGATGTGACTCATTTATTTACATGAATAATCTCTCACTACAAATTAGTTAACTTTTTAGTGTTCACTAAAGTTTTACTTCACTTGAGGAATTTTGCATTATTTGTATAATTTAATAAGATGGTTTCACAACCTGCTTTTTAAAAAAATAATTTATTTACTTTAGGTGCATACTATATCTGGCATTTCTCCCCATGTTATCCCTCCCTACCCTACCCTCCCTCCGCACCCCCCTCAACTGCCCCCAGTGTGTGATGTTCCTCTCCCTGATTCCATGTGTTCTCATTGTTCAACACCCACCTATGAGTGAGAACATATGGTGTTTGCCTTTCTTTTCTTGTGTTAGTTTGCTGAGAATGATGGTTTCCAGATTCATCCAAGTCCCTACAAAGGACACAAACTGATTTTTTATGGCTGCGTAGTATTCCATGGTGTATACCACAAATTCTTTGTCCAGTCTATCATTGATGGGCATTTGGGTTGATTCTGTGGAAATCTAGTATTTCTTTTTTTTTTTTTTGAGAGTTTCCAGTCGACACTCAGAAACAGGTTGTTCCGTTTCCAAGTGGTTGTGTGGGTTTGTGTGTGTTTCTTGATCCTGAGTCCTAATCTGACTGCGCTGTGGTCTGATAGACTGTTATGCTTTCTGTTCTTTTGCATTTGCTGAGGAGTGATTTGCTTCCAATGATATGGTCAATTTTAGAGCATGTGCAATTTGGTGCTGAGAAAAATGTATATTCTGTGGATTTGGGATGGAGAGTTCTGTATATGTGTATTAGGTCCACTTGGTTCAGCTCTGCATTCAAGTCCTGGATATCCTTGTTAATTTTCTGTCTGATTGATTTAATATTGACAGTGGAGTGTTGAAGTCTCCCACTATTATTGTGTGGGAGTCTAAATCTCATTTTAGGTCATTAAGAACTTCCTTTATGTATCTGGGTGCTCCTGTGTTGGGGGCATATGTATTTAGGATACTTACCTTTTCCTGTTGGATTGATCCTTTTACCATTATGTAGTGTCCTTCTCTGTCTCTTTTGATATTTGTTGAAGTCCATTTTATCAGAGACTAGGATTACAACCCCTGCTTTTTGTTTTGTTCTCCATTTGCTTGGTAAATCTTCTATCCCTTTGAGTCTATGTGTGTCTTTGTATGTGAGATGGGTTTCCTGAATACAGCACACCGATGGGTTCTGAATTTTTATCCAGTTTGCCAGTCTGTGTCTTTTGATTGGAGCATTTAGGCCATTTATATTCAATGTTAATATTGTTATGTGTGGATTTGATTCTGCCATTTTTTTACTGACTGGTTTTCTTTCCCCTTAGTTGCCTCATTTTCTTCATTGCATTTTTGGTCTTTGCCAACTGGTTTGCTTTTGCAGTGACTGGTACTTGTTCCTCTCCATGCTTAGTGTTTCTTTCAGGAGCTCTTGTAGGGCAGGTCTGGTGGTGACAAAAATCTCTCAATGATTCCTTGTCCATAAAGGATTTTATTTCTCCTTCACTTACAAAGCTTAGTTTGGCTGGATATGAGATTCTGGGTTGAAAGTTCTTTTCTTTAAGGATGTTGAACGTTGGCCCCCACTCTCTTCCAGCTTGTAGGGTTTCTGCAGAGAGATCTGCTGTTGAGTCTGATTGGCTTCCCTCTATGGGTGACCTGGCCTTTCTCTCTGGCTGCCCTTAGCATTTTTTCCTTCATTTCAACCCTGGTGAATCTGATGATTATGTGCCTTGGGGTTGCTCTTCTTGAGGAATATCTTTGGGGAGTTCTCTGTATTTCTTGAATTTGAAATTTGGACTGCCTTGCTAAGCTTGGGAAGTTCTCCTGGATAATATCCTGGAACATGTTTGGATTCATTCTCCCCGTCATATTCGGGTACACCAATCAAACATAGATTAGCTCTTTTCACATAATCCATATTTCTTGGAGGCTTTGTTCATTTCTTTTCACTCTTTTTTCTCTTGTCTTGCCTTCTCTTTTTATTTCATTGAGTTGATCTTCAATCTCTGATATCCTTTCTTCTCCTTGATTGATCTGGCTATTAAAACTTGTGTTTGAGGCCAGGCGCGGAGGCTCAAGCCTGTAATCCCAGCACTTTGGGAGGCCGAGGCGGGTGGATCACGAGGTCGAGAGATCGAGACCATCCTGGTCAACATGGTGAAACCCCGTCTCTACTAAAAATACAAAAAAAAA